TGTACATCTGTGAGTCACACCCCAGCCTGAAAGCAGTTTATGAGACTGTCTTAATAACAGACGCTCGGCTTGGCACCTATTGTACTTGTGATGGAATGAAGTGTGGCCTGGAACACCCACAGCCTGGGCAGAGAAGAGGACATCACCTTCAGATCAGAGGTCTGTGTACCTGCCAGGTTTACTAGGTGCACATGACACGCTGTGCCTTTAAGACCATGCACCTCCCTCTTACATGGGAAAGGAACATGTGACAGGGAAGCACTGCTAGTGTCTGTGTTCCAGCAGCAAGAGAGAAAGATAAGTGCTGGAGGAGAAAGGGAAGGACTAAAGTTTCCAAAATAGGAGACAACACAGTACACAGATAAAACATAGCAAGGGGTGGAGGCAGGCAGATGTGGGAATTACAACCACAAAGTAACAAAGCTGAGCTTCGGATGAATGCTGAACGGTAGGAGAAGTTGGAGAAGAAGTCAGAAATTACAAGGGAGACTTTACAATACGGCGCTGGTCCATATTTGTAGAACATTCAGGAAGCAGGGAGGTTAATCCAGGGAAAGAATTAAAAATGGGAAGTTTGAAGTAAAGGTTAAAAGATGACGCTGAATCCAGAATAAACAAGGAGAGTAAGACTAGCCCTAGTGGTGGAGCCAGCGGTGTGAACATGCCACATTTTACAGTCACCAAAGTGCCCGATCCAGAGGATGACATAGAGGAAGAAAGCTTCACTGCCCTAAAAGAATGTGAGAATGAAGATTCCTGGGGGACTGGTAAGTCACTGTTCCTGCCAGCATTCCTGTTTTCCTGATCAGTGGTTTAGAAAACAAGTAGATGGGAGATGTAAATGAATCACATCCCTCTGACCACAACAGAACTATCAATGGAAACCTTCAAGCAGTGCTTGTGATTTATTGAGTGTCTTCGTTTAATGATTAGTTTATTGACTAGTAGGCTGTAAACAATCTATAGTAAGGCCTAAGGGTAGGAATGATACCAGCTGTGTTCTGTTTGCTTAATCTGATGTTATTATTATTATACAGGATTTATATAGCGCCAACAGTTTGCTCAGCGCTTTACAATATAACGGGAGACAATATAGCAACAGTTCAATACAAGAGGGTTAGGAGGGCCCTGCTCCTTGGAGCTTACAATCTAGGAGTATTATTATACAGGATTTATAGAGCGTCAACAGTTTGCTCAGCACTTTACAATATAACGGGAGACAATATAGCAACAGTTCAATACAAGAGGGTTAGGAGGGCCCTGCTCCTTGGAGTTTACAATCTAGGAGTATTATTATACAGGATTTATAGAGCGTCAACAGTTTGCTCAGCACTTTACAATATAACGGGGGACAATATGGCAACAATACAGTTCAATACAAGAGGAATAGGAGGGCCCTGCTCCTTGGAGCTTACAATCTAAAATGTTGAAAGGGTTTAACTATAAAATGTACATCATAATCAGGTGTACTTATACAATGTCTCATATCTGAACATGTAGCATTGTACTTCTCTCAGACACAACAATCCACTATTTTGGTGGCCCACGCCTTGTTGTGACAAGGTTTGATATGCTTCAGTATTTGTGAGGTTTGTTTTATATTAGCACATCTGTCAAATCTGTTAGCATAGACGGGGTTAAGGCAAGCTAGCCTGCTCTGTGAAACGCAGCATTTTACCATGTGGGCAGCCATAGTGTCAGCTTCGGGAGGGAGTGGTACAATACATGGTGCCATCTACGCTAGTGTAACAAGACACATAGAAAACAATTGTTTTCTATGTATGGAAAAACACAGGTCAGTGCTCATAGTGTGAATGAGCCCTTAAAGCAGGGGTTTCAAACTAGCGGCCCTCCAGCTGTTGCAAAACTACAAGTCCCATCATGCCTCCATCCTTGGGAGTAACTGTCAGTCTTGCAATGTCTCATGGGACTTGTGGTTTGGCAACAGTTGGAGGGCCGCCAATTTGACAGCCGTGCTTTAAAGGATAAGTTCACCTGTTGTTGTTGTTGTTATTATTATTATACAGGATTTATATAGCGCCAACAGTTTGCTCAGCGCTTTACAATATAACGGGAGACAATACAGCAACAATACAGTTCAATACAAGAGGGAAAGGAGGGCCCTGCTCCTTGGAGCTTACAATCTAGGAGTATTATTATACAGGATTTATATAGCGCCAACAGTTTGCTCAGCGCTTTACAATATAACGGGAGACAATACAGTTCAATACAAGAGGGATAGGAGGGCCCTGCTCCTTGGAGCTTACAATCTAGGAGATAACATGTTATACCCATATTCAGGGTTACTGATGGTACCGATATAGCAACCCCCTTACTCCCCAAGGTCCTTGGCCTGACAGCAGGCCTAGGATCTTCTCCGCTATAACAATTTTTAAAAAATGTTGGCATGCAGGGCTCTGCCCACCCAGCTGCATCACTCATTCACAGAGTTCTGTAAATGGGAGAACTACAACTACCATAAGCCATTGCGGCTGACAGCTTGTAGTTCTCAATGAAGTACCAGGGCTGATGAGCGCTCTAGGTGGTTCATTGATTCTTCCTGTCATTTAATAACTGCGCGCCCATACGAGGTATGGGCAGGCAGCTACATTGAAAGTCTGCAGGAGCCTTGCATTACACCCATGATCATGGCTGCAATGCTCTGCAGGCTTCTATGAAAAAAAATTATAAATGCATATTTTTTTACCTGCGAAAGTGCATGTATTATTATTATTTTTTTTTTAAGGTGAACTTCCTTTAATGTCTTCTGTTCATGCATATTTAAGTTGTTCATGCATGGGTTGAAATTCAGCCAGTTTAGCAGGAACCGGCCAAATTTTAATCCATGTATGGGCACCCTAGTTGTACACAATTCGATCTAACGATCAACTTGTGTACAACCAGCCTGCCAGGTTTTTCTCAAATGACTACTGCCACCAGCAATATCTGGCAACAAAAATTAATTATTATATTCTGCCAGTAGGGAAGGTTCCCTGCGCTCCCCACCAACAGAACACAATAGCGCTGCTGGAGTACCCCATCAACACTGACTCTGTTGATTGGGGAATTGAGCAATTTTCTTTCCTTTCACCAATGTTGGAAGGAAAGAAAATTGAATAATCTATGGCCTGCCTAAGGATACTAAAGGCCCGCTCACACATAGTGCAGTGACTGTCATTTTTCCACATTGGATGACCCCAAGTCATTGCTAGGGCACATAGAGAACAATTATTTTCTATGTGACTGGTTCACACTGCAACACAGCCCAGAGGTACAGTGCAGTGAACTGTGATAAAATACAGATGTGCTGCATTTTATTGCAGCGTACAGGTAGGCACAGCATGTCACCACACAGCAGTGCAATGCACTGGACTGTTGTGCATTGATATGAATGGGGTGCCACTTTGTGCACTTCAAATAAACCTGAAAAAAGGGAATTGTTTGATAAACTGAAATGCTCATCACACCCACCCCCTCACCATGGCTCATTGCAGCTGAATCTGACAGCTGCCTGAACACTAAACAGAGCATTGACATTAGTATGTATGTACAAATTGCCTATGCACATGTGTTACCACATTCTCCAAGCCATTTCAAGCTTGGGTAATTGCAGTTGCTGAGGAACAACATAAAAAAAAGAAAATCCTATGGGAAGGGGCCTCAAGCATATCAGCCATGGTGCAGGGTCCTCAATACCCTCTTGTATTGAACTGTATTGTTGCTGTATTGTCTCCCACTATAATGTAAAGTGCTGAGCAAACCGTTGGCGCTATATAAATCCTGTATTATAATAATGGTGGCCCTGGGAGCTGGCCCCTAGAATCGATGAGTGTCAGATATGACTGAGTATATATATATATGGAATGCTTTTTAATCAGAGTATAAACTGATTTAAACTCCTGGGATAATGATCTGGTCAGTTAAGTAGCAGAGGGGGTTGTTAATCAGCTTCAGCTGCTTTGGTGTTAATGAAATCAACAACAGGTGCACTAGATGGGGCAATAATGAGACGACCCCCAAAACAGGAATGGTTTTACAGGTGGAGGCTACTAATTGTGTTTTCCCTACTCATCTTTTGTGACTGTTTTTCACTAGTTTTGCATTTGGCTAGGGTCAGTGTCACTACTGGTAGCATGAGGCGATACCTGGACCCTACAGAGGTTGCACAGGCAGTCCAACTCCTCCAGGATGGCACATCCATACGTGCCATTGCCAGAAGGTTTGCTGTGTCTTCCAGCACAGTCTCGAGCACAAGAGCATGGAGGAGATTCCAAGAGACAAGCAGTTACCCTAGGAGATTACATCTCTAGGGTTTACAGAGAATGGTCCGAAAAAGAGAAAAATATCCAGTGAGCGGCAGTTGTGTGGATGAAAATGTTGTTGATGTAAGAGGAGAATGGGCAGACTGGTTTGAGATGATAGAAAGGCAGCAGTAATTCAAATAACCACTCATAACAACCAAGGTATGCAGAACATCATTTCTTGTATCAACGGTGCAGGCTGGTGGTAGTGTCATGGTGTGGGGGATATTTTTTTGGCATTAGCAAGTTGTACCTAAAAAAGTGGCCGGCGTGTGTGTATATAAGTATATATAAATATGTATGTATGTATGTATGTATGTATGTGTGTGTGTGTGTGTATGTATGTATATATATATATATATATATATATATATATATATATATATATATACACACACACGCATACAGGACTGATCTGACCGTAATTACAGTGTGCATAAAAAATACCACTAGATCCTGTTTACCTCTACTTATCAAATACCAATTGCCAATGACTGACTGATCATCTGATAAGTACCTCTATCTGTGTGACCAGGTTATTTTGCTCACATTATATGGTTGGCTTTAGGAGTGTATGGCTAAGTTCAGCATTATTTAACATTATATAAAAAACAGATATGACTTTTAATCAACATTACTAGATCATTGTAAAGTCTTCAAATACAAAGCTCATTTTAATTCTTTTGTTTTTCACAAAAGATCGAAGCCAGACATCCGTAACAGAGGAAACAGCAAGCTTTTAGGTACCATTTTTGTTTGATTTAAAATTATATTATGTTCCATGAGACATGTGACAGTTGTCATTACTGAATACTGTCTTCTCCAGAGATTGACCGCAGGAAGAACTCTGCTCTCTACCAGAATCACAATGAAGATGGGGAAGATTCATATGACAGAAATCTGGCCTTGTTTGAGGTAAGAGAAAGGTGGTCACATTTAACAATTGCCAGTTTCAAGGCTTAGACAAAAAAATGAAAACACTACATGATTTGAAGGTGTGAAAGTGATGACATGTTTCACATTGAAAGTGGAAGTGATGTAACATTCTTTTGCTTGCGCTGTATGATGAGACACCTAGCCAAGGTGGGAAGCCTACTTTAGTCATTCAATGCGTGAGATGCTAGTCATAGGAAGACATGTCAGAGCTTACTGAGCTTCAAAGCGGGCATATTGTTGGTGCAGCTTAGCTGGAGCCTCTGTGACTGAAGTTGCCCAATTATTTGCCGTGTCGTGAGGTACAGTCTTCATGGGAATGAGATTGAGCTCTGCAGTCACTTTTGCAGCAGTTGTTTTCTTATTCTGGTTCACAATCTTGTCCAATGTCCTTTTGTCTCTTTCGGTCAGTTGACCATATCAACCGCGCTTATTGTTATCAGATGATGTTTTCCCGAAAACTCTATATGCCATCGTAACCTTTGATACTGTAACATGTTGTCACTTTCACACCTGCAAATCATGTAGTGTTTCCATTTTTTTGTCTGACCCCTGTATCTTAAAGTGACACATTTGAGATCATATTCTCTAATCAGGGGTATCAAACTCCATTTCATCGCAGGCTGTATCAGCATTATGGTTGCCCTCAAAGGGCCGGTTGTTTCTGCAGGACTAGATGTCTAGAGCACCCAACCCCCCATTACATCAGATGTCAAGAATCCCACACCCTCCCTAACATCACCGTGCACCCCTTTGGGGGTAGAGCAGGAAAGCAGAAAGTGCAGAGTCTGGAGGAGGACCAGAGGAGGAGTGGAGTCTGCTGAGATGAGGGGATGCTGCATTGAGAGGTGCAGGATTTGGCAGAGGAGTTCCATTCTCCTCTCTGCTGCCGACTGCTGAGACAAGGTGGGGTTGGAGACAAGGGGGTACCTGCAGGAGAGGTGCAAGGGCCACATGAAATGGCCTGGAGGGCCGGATTCGGCCCATGGGCCTTGTGTTTGACACCTGTGCTCTAGATACTGTACAGTTTGTCTGTGCAGAATATAACATAACATCATGTAAGTCTGTGTAGAATATAACATAGCATACTGTATGTTCATGTGGAATATAACATAAGGAATGACCCTAGAATGAATGGTGGTCTTGGGATCTGTATTGTACACCCTTCTTTGAGATATTCTTTATATATTTATATTCTTTTATTGCTCAAAGGCTGCGATCCTTCCACTGATTTAGGAATAAGGGTTATTTATATCCCTGACTCAAAATCATAGCTTGTGTGTGTGGCCCTCAAAAATGAATTTTGTAACCTTCAATTGTATTTCAAGAGTGACAACTCTAGTTTGATTTTTTTTTAAATGCGATATTCACTGCTGAATATAATGTACAAGATACATGTAGGTCTTTCTTTTTACATGCAGGAGGAGATGGACACAAGACCTAAAGTTTCATCGCTCTTGAACCGCCTGGCCAATTACACTAACCTCCCTCAAGGTGCAAGAGAACATGAGGAGGAGAGTGAGGGTAAAAAGAAGCCAACCAAGGTGAGGTGGTAAATGCAAATGATATTTCACTACATATTGGAGTTTACCTTGTCAGTACATTATATTCACTGCACCTATGTGTTTGTGTTTTATTAGGCACCTCGAATGGGAACGATTATGGGGGTGTACCTTCCGTGCTTACAAAACATTTTCGGTGTTATCTTGTTTCTTCGTCTCCCTTGGGTAGTGGGGACTGCTGGAGTACTACATGCTTTCTGCATTGTGTTTTCCTGCTGCTGCTGTGTGAGTAGTGTTGAAAAATGTCATATTCCTTGGATGTAATGGTTAATGTAGATACATGTGCAAAAACATAATGTAACTTTCTCTTTTCAGACAATGCTTACAGCAATTTCAATGAGTGCTATAGCGACCAATGGAGTAGTACCAGGTAAAGTCTCATTTTCATCAGGCTATGTTCTCTGCGGTCTTTTTTTTGTCTTATGATTTTTATATACTGTTTTTCCTATTGTTACTAATTTCTTTGTTTGAGTTCAGACTCCTTTCACGTTTCTTTGTTATATCTGGAGAGTTCTAATGGTCTCCAGGTAATACAGTCTAATTCATATCACGGTTTTTTTTTTTTTCCCCCCTTATATTAGCGGGTGGTTCATATTTTATGATTTCCCGGGCACTTGGCCCTGAATTTGGAGGTGCTGTTGGTCTCTGCTTCTACCTTGGAACAACGTTTGCCACTGCTATGTATATCCTTGGGGCAATTGAGATATTCCTGGTAAGATGTTATGACATATTCTGCAGACTGTAATTTTATTATGCTGTACTGGAAGTTAAATTTGTTTAAGCTGGCTATAGTGTCAGAAAGATCTAATCACCGTTGATGAAATTGCAGTTCTTTTTAACTTCACAGTTGTCTGAATTCTGGAGGTTGATCAAACTTCTGGTCAGCAGATTGCTTAGGTTTGCAAGTACTCAGCAGAAACTATATGTGATGCCTGGTGGATGGAAAGTGGTTGAAGCTAAAAATTGCCACATGTATGCATTATAGTGATTGGAAATCTGCTTACAGATAATAGAGAAAAGTGATACCCATCTGAATCTGCTGAGGGATTGGTCTGGATAGTATTTCTGCTGATTTTTCTCTCATCTTCCCTACAATTCTTATTTGCATAAGCAACTGACACTACAAGTTTATCGAGAGCAGCATTTCACAGACTTGTCTTCAGGGCAGTAAGATCATGCCTGAATGGAATAACCAGCCTCTCAAGTGTTTGGGCACCTTTAGAAGATGTATCCAAGTTTGTCTTTCAGGACAAACAACAGTTCCAGTTACTTTGTAGTTTTATTATAATAGCTGAAGGTTTCACAACATTTTAACAAGTAAACATTAGATAAAGATTTGTTGGATTAGTCAAAAATATCTATGTTCCACTAGGTGAAAGAAAGTTGTTATACTGTATTTTGTCTTGTGTTTCCACTCTGTAGTGAAATACACTTAAATGTGAGCATTTATCAAATCCAAACATTCATGTTACAGGTAGGGGCACACAGGAGGAATGCCTGAGGGCAGGTGGATTGTTTACACACATGCAACTGTCTTAAGGTGTCTATAGGGAAATTAAAGCTGACCATACACCTTGTATGACTTCTCTTGTTCAGCTTGAGCGTTGAAAGAAATAAAATCTAACAGATTCTTCCATCCATGCTAAATAGCACGAATGGGTGAATTTCCCACTATATTTATTGCATTCTGACAGCCAGTGCCAGCTGTCAGAATACCTGAACAGAGCTTGCATCTGATTGGATAATTTTCTGGCCGGGTTCTTTAATTATTCAAAGGATAGTGGAAAAAAGGGGGGTGCCAATAGGCCAATCCATTGATCAAATTTTGGACAATTCACCAGAGACCAGCTGAAATTTGCTCAGTGTATGGCAAGCTTAGTGATTGTAAAGCTTCAGTTTTTATTTTACTAAAATAACAAACATGTTATGCTTACCTGCTCAGTGCAATGGTTTTGCACAGAGCAGCTTCGATCCTCATCTTCTTTGGTCCCCCGCAGGTTCCACCCCAGTGCCTCCAGAGCAAGCCACTTGCTCTGTGGGCACTCGTGCTTGCTCGCTCCCAGGCTCTGCTCTCTGTGTCAGTAAGATACCCAGAACGGGGCTTGGCCCCACCCCCTGCTTCTTGTCGTTAGCACTGATTGAGAGCAGTGGGAACCAATGGCTACTGAAGCTATATTTGAGCCAATGAGAAGTGAGAGAGCCTGGATCAAGATCAGGCTAAGAGGTATTTATTTAGAGGGGCTTCAGGGGGAGCTGCACACAAACTTTTTTTTTTACTTTGCTGTATATAATGCAGTAAGGTAGAAAACCTTTTGTCTTAACCACTTTAAAAATGCTCACAGACCCCAGAGGGCAGCTGGATAGTAATAGTATTTTGCCTCGGAAATCCAACCGGATCTTGTCTTTCTCAGAGCAGGCTTGGCCATGGCGTGTTGCCAGGGGCCAGAGAAGGCTTATAGACAAGATTGTAGGATGATGTGGCAGTAACTGCCTAGAAAGTGTAAACCGTCTCTAATGCTTATAGACACCTTAAAGTGGACCTTGTACACCATGCAAGCTCTGATTATTATTTTTAAGTGTGCCTCACTCCCCCTTTTCAAAAGTACTGATTTAAAGTGTAACATTTTCCCTAATAGATATTATACTTCTCTTTCCCCCAGCTTCTGTGATTCATGGGGTAATGTCATCATCCTACCAATGAGATGCCAGGAATTGTAGGTACTTGAGACAACAGTGCAGCTCAGCATTGGCAGCATATTTTAAGAGACATTTTGGTTTTACTTTACATGCCTTAGATCTCACTGTAAGGATGATGATGTCGCTCTCGCCTAGGTGCTGTGGGCAGAAGCTGGAGGAGAGGCAAGTTTAAATTATCTAACATTTTGTCCGCTTACAGATGTTTTTTACATTTTTAATCCGTATTTTATCAAGAGGGAGGGGCACATTTAAAAAGTGGACCTTGCACTTAATTAAAAACAATGTGATTTCCATTGTAATGTGATTCTGTGCAACTCAAGTTTACTAGAGTAAACCAGGCCTTAGTTTGTGTTTTGTCTTTGTTCTGTTCTGTTTGTTCTTTCATGCTAATTGAGGATTCCTGGGTTGACTTAAATTAGATGTATTGTGCTGGTTCTAGAGAATGGTTAATTAAGGTACATTATACATTGGGGTTTATTTACTGAAGGCAAATATACTGTGCTTTGCAAGTTGCCCCAGAGCTTAGTAAATGAGATAAAGCTTCACTTTGCAAAGAATACCCAATCACAATGAGGGAAAATTAAAAAAAAAAAAAAACGCGATTTTGTTTGCACATTGATTGGATGATAGAAATCAGCAGAACTCTCCCTCATTTCAGAGCTTCCCCACTGACCTAGAGAAACTGCACTTGCAGTGCACACACTATATGCCTTTAGTAAATCACCCTGGTGTATTTGTTTATCCATTGACCTCTTTTAAAGAGACAGATGGCTGTTCAGTTTAATTGTGTATTCACTTTCCATTTAAAACATTTAATAATGTATCCTTGATTTGTTTAAATATTATGCCTATATACAGTATATATTAGTTTTTGTGTAATTTCTTTTTCATTGCATGCACACCTGTGCCATTTGATGTCAACTAAAATCAAAGGCTGCAGCCATGGAATGCTTTCAGATGTAGTGTAGTTGTATATCTTTTCAGCATCCATGGCCCTCACTGTTGTCTGCTGATGTGTTGGGAAATTACCCTTTCAATACAGAGGTCATGTAAGGTAACAGCAATCTGTGTTAATGTTTATCCGGCTGGTACTGGCCTGGATGTGCAGATGACCAAGACTCAGAAATAAACTGTTTTTTAAGACAGGCTTATGATGAAATCTTTACCTTCCCCTGCCTATCCAGCTCCAGAAACTAGATAAAATCTAGACTCGTTCATGAAACTGTAGCTCCAGGCCAGGGGCGGACTGACCATTTGGAAACTCGGGCACTGCCCGAGGGCCTGGGGTCAGTAGGGGCCCCCATGAGATGCCCCTGGTACCTTTTTCATAGGCTTTTTTGAGTTTGGGAAAGGACACAGGGGCCCCATGATCCCCTATTGCCCGGGGGCCCCATGAGTTGTCAGTCCGCCCCTGTTCCAGGCTGTCATACAGCAACACTAAGAAGCTTTGGCCATGTGGTTTCTGCAGTGGGGGCAAAGGGATTCATTTCTTAACTTTTAGTATAATAATATATGTACCCCTTTTAGTAAAAATATGACTAGTAATAGAACAAGCTGTCACACAAAAGTAGCAAAACCATTTTACCACTGACATTGTTTACATTGCTTGGGCTTTTATTCATTTATGTAAAACCTTTATCCCAAAAAGGAAAAAAAAAACCTTTTATTGCTTAAAAAGTGTTAGTTGGAGTTAGATTTTAATTTGTTAGTCACTTACTGGTGCAACTCGAAAAATTAGAATATCGTGCAAAAGTTCATTTATTTCAGTAATGCAACTTAAAAGGTGCTTTGATACAGCTCTTTGGAAACATCCAACTTCTTCTGCAATTACCTTTTGAGGCTTTCCCTCCTTATGGAGGGTGTCAATGATGGTGTCAGGTCAGCAGTCTTTCCCATGATTGTGATTCCTACTGAACCAGACTGAGAGACCATTTAAAGGCTCAGGAACCCTTTGCAGGTGTTATGGCTTAATTAGCTGATTAGAGTGGGACACTTTGAGCCTAGAATATTGAACCTTTTCACAATATTCTCATTTTCTGGTATTGTGGATTTGGGGGGTTTTCATGAGCTGTAAGCCATAATCATCACAATTATGACAAATCCTGGCTTGAACTATCTTGCTTTGCATGTAATGAGTCTATCTCATATATTAGTTTCACCTTTTAAGTTGCATTACTGAAATAAATGAACTTTTGCACGATATTCTAGTTTTTTGAGTTTCACCTGTATGTAAAGTCCAGCTAAATTTATTAGTCTAACAAACACTCCCCGCTCCAAATAGCATTGCTGTCCAAGGGCAGCTCCATTTCTCCTTGATAGATAGGGGAACCACCTACAAGAGGAAATGTATTACTGGCCAGACCACCAGGTGAAAGATAAAAACTAATGCAGCTACCACTTCCTAGGATCATTATATTTATATATATATATATATATATATATTTTTTTTTTTTTTTTTTTTTTTTTTTTTTTTGGGGGGGGGGGTGTTATCATTTTAAGTGTTCCTAATACTGCCCCTCTAACTATTTAGCAATGATTTTGAAATCGTTATAGGTTGGTTTGTTTGTTTTAAAGGAAAAAGCCACTTTTTGCACAAAAAATAGTAAATGCACATTTTTTTGCAGGTAAAAAAAGATGCATTTTATTATTTTTGTCTCCAGGAGCCTGTAAACCATTGCACCAGCCATCAGAAGATCATTGGTGCCATGTAGGTCTTCTTCAGACCTGTCAGTATATCTGCTTGTCCGTACGGGGCAGCGGTTAGCGGCTGCAGCATTGGGATATCTTACATGTTCTACCCTAATAACGGGTGGAACATGTAACATGTTCCCAAAGGTGAACTTATCTTTTAAGTTTCACTATCTTTCAATTAGATTACTAAATTTATTTTTCAAGTATTCAAAAAAGATAATGCCACACATGAGGTCCTACTCCTGACACCTCTTCGGCAGCATTCTGGAAGATCAATCATATTTTCATTTCATGCTCACTAAGCCTGTCTTTGACTCAAATAACAGAGACCATTTGTTTGCACATTGATTGCAATACAGAAAAAGTCTTTGATTTGATTTTGCTGCTGTGATTTACAGTTTTCTGCGCCTGCTCAGATGTGAACCTAACCTTGGGAGACATTTTTAGCATGTACAATATATTTTAAGGGCTTATGCACACTGGGTGTTTTTACAGCAGCTGTTTTTGGCATTTGGCATTTTTTTTTTTTTCTACAGCCAGTAAACTCTCCAGCTTGATATCCTATGTGTTCATGTCCAGGCTTTAATCAGCAATTTTTGGCCAGAGAGTTTTTTGGTTGGGAAATAAAAACAGAACTAGTGAGTTTCAAGAGGAGTTTTTTTTAGTTGTAAAAAACGCTTTAACGCTGGTAAACACGGTAAAACGTGACAAACCAGCGTTTTTGAGCGTATTTTTTTTTTTTTTGAGCCAGAACTTTTTTTGCGTGTAGAAAAAAGCTAAAAAAAATGCTAATGTGGAAAAGCGTGGCTAAACAATAATGCAAAAACTCCAGAAAAACTTGCATTTTTAACGTGACTTAATACAGCTAACGCTACTGCCGGTTTTTAAAACGCCCACTGTTCATGAGGCCTAAAGGTCAATGAGGGTAATATATCAAAACTGGAGCAGTCAGAATCTGGAGAATCTGTGCATAGCAACCAAATCAACTTCTATCTTTCATTTTAAAAGCTTAACTGAGCAAGCTGAAGCTAGAAGCTGGTTGGTTACCATGCACAGCTGCTCTAGTTTTAGTAAATTCCTGTGCAGTAACTGAAGTTATCCATTTACACATTGCATTTAGTGACCATTCATATTTCTCTGCAGGTGTACATTGCTCCTGATGCTGTAATTTTTAAAGGTGAAGGCGTGGCGGAGAACTCGGCAGCAATGCTGAATAACATGCGTGTTTATGGCACAGTATTTCTCATTCTTATGTCTGTCATTGTTTTTGTGGGAGTACGCTATGTGAATAAGTTGGCATCACTCTTCCTGGCCTGCGTCGTACTGTCTATTCTCGCCATCTATGCAGGAGCACTTAAATCTGCCTTTGCTCCACCTGAATTCCCGTAAGTCTACAACCATCCTTCGTTAATGTTCAACAGAACTTGTCAATAAAAAAAGGCATAAATGAGCCAGATCAAGAAGCTGTAAATGTTGTTATTGTAGATTGTGCAGTGCTGTATTTTTTAACTGAAGGTGTATAGATTCAGTTTAACTGATTTTTATAACAAAAATCTGAAATCCATATTTTATTGATAGAATATTTCTATTACATTAAAATATACCTACTGAGACAAGGGTTCTTGCTCCATTTCAAACATAAGAGAGATGGTGCTCATCATAGTCTGACTTAAAAAATAAGAAAAAAAAAAATAAAGAATTATGTAAGCAAACCTAATTTGGCAAGTGTTTAGCAATTCAAGACCTTCATTAAACAGTGACCTGTGACAAACATCTACATGCCAGCACAAAGTCCACAGCTGCACAAATGCTAAAAATCTGTTCAACTTTCCAGTAGCAGACGGTGTTCACTGTTATCTGCAAATAGTTTAAAGTGCACCTGTGCCCTGACTATGGACATTAAACAATTTACATAACAAGCAGTAAAATAGCTTTAAAAAGTGCCATCCCTGACCTCTCTAGATGCTTCTAGGGCTGATTCACACTGTGGAGTTGCATGCAACATTTTTGGGCAGCGTACCACAAATCACGTTAATGTGTTTCCATGTGTTACACTGCAACATGAGTCAGGCAAAAGCTGAAAAGTCACAGCAAAGACTCTAGCCAGTTATTGACCTTGGGGATATCCAGCAAACAAGAGGTTGTTTCTATTTCTGTTGGCGCTATATAAATACTGTATAATAATAATAATAATTTTGTTCAGCAGGTTGATTTCTTTTGTAGCTTTAGAGCCTCCTGATCATGTTTGCAGACTGCAGACCCCACTTTGAGTTCTGGGCTTTCCTGCTCCTCCTGGGAGCCCAGGACCATATTAAACAGTGTCGGGATGGCGAGCAGGAGGAGGACATTCCCTTCTGTCCTCTGTAGACTGTGAACATGGAATCTCTCAGCTCCGAGCCCCCTCTTGACAACAAAAGTAATGGTTAATGATAAAATGATGAGCTGTAAAGGCATTAAAGCATAGCATATTGATTATTTGTGGTGCCATATTTTATGGCCATTTCACAGAGCACTCAGTGTTGGGGCTTGACATATATGGTATCCACATACCCAAAACAGACTGAATATCTAGATTTGGTAATAAGTTGTGTGAATTTCTTGCAACATAAAAATTGCAATGACCACCTTTTTATTCTACAGGGCCTCTGCTTTCAGAAAATATATAATGTTTTGGGTGTTTTCAATAATGTTATGGCCTAAAATACAGATATTAACACGTGCGAGAAAAATAAAAGCATTGCTTCCATAGAGAGCTGGTGGAGTGGGTTTGGCTTCTAACAGCTGAAAAACACCTGTTGGTTATTTACAGTACATTAGAGGGTTTAACAGCCTGCTATGATCTGTAATCATGGAAAAAAATCTGAGCCTGTGTTGTTCACATTGAAATTTAATTTTCTCACAACGCAAGTAGGTACAGAGGTGACTGAGGACCTTAACTGCCTGTCCAGATTATGTACATACTTTATTGTGTATGATGTGGGCACAGGTTCACTTTAATATCAGTTGGCATTTACAGTGAAGGAAATAAGTATTTGATCCCCTGCTGATTTTGAATGTTTGCCCACTCACAAAGAAATGATCAGTCTAAAAATTGAATAGTAGGTGTATTGTACCACTGAGAGACAGAATAGCATAAAAAAATTCAAAAGAAATTCATGTCTAACAAATGATGCACTGATTTGCATGTTCATGAGGGAAATAAGTATTTGATCCCCTATCATTCAGCAGGATTTCTGGCTACCAGGTGTCTTTCATACAGGTAACAAGCTGAGATTAGAAGCAGTCTCTTAAAGGGAGTGCTGCTAATCTTGTTTTGTTACCTGTATAAAAGACACCTGTCCACAGGAGCAATCAAACAATCAGATTCCAAACTCTCCACCATGGCAAAGACCAAAGAGCTGTCCAAGGATGTCAGGGACGAGATTGTAGACCTACACAAGGCTGGACTGGGCTACAAAACTATCACCAAGCAGCTTGGTGAGAAGGTGACAACAGTTGGTGCAATCATTCGCAAATGGAAGAAAACGCAAAACAACTGTCAGTCTCCCTAGGTCTGGTGCACCATGCAAGATCTCGTGGAGTGTCAATGACCATGAGAACAATGAGGAATCATCCCAGAACTACACGTGAGGTTCTTGTCAATGATCTCCAGGCAGCTGGGACTACAGTCCCCAAGAAAACAATTGATAACACACTACGCTGATAAGGACTGAAATCCTGCAGTTCCCGCAAGGTCCCTCTGCTCAAGAAAGCACATGTCCAGGCCTGTCTGAAGTTTGCCCCTGAACATCTGAATGATGCAAAGGAGGACTGGTTGAAAGTGCTGTGGTCAGATGAGACCAATATCGAGCTGTTTGGCATCAACTCAACTCGTGTTTGGAGGAGGAGGAATGCTGCCTGTGACCCCAAGAACACCATCCCAACTGTCACACGTGGTGGAAACATTCTGTTTTGTGGGTGTTTTTCTGCTAAGTGGACAGGACAACTGCACCGCATCAAAGGGACGATGGACGGGGCAATGTACCGTCAAATCTTGGGTGAGAACCTTCTTCCCTCAGCCAGGGCATTGAAAATGGGTTGTGGATGGGTGTTCCAGCATGACAATGACCCAAAACACACGGCCAAGGCAACAAAGGAGTGGCTCAAGAAGAAGTACATTAAGGTCCTGGAGTGAAAATCTGTGGAGGGAGCTGAAAGTTCGAGTTGCCAAACGTCAGCCCACAAAACCTTAATGACTTGGAGAGGATGTGCCAAGAGGAGTGGGCCAAAATCCCTCCTGAGATGTGTGCAAACCTGGTGGCCAACTACAGGAAACATCTGACCTCTGTGATTGCCAACAAGGGATTTGCCACCAAGTACTAAGTCATGTTTTGTGAAGGGGATCAAATACTTATTTCCCTCATGAACATGCAAATCGGTTCATAATTTGTTAGACATGCATTTCTTTTGAATTTTTTGATGCTTTTCCTTCTCTCAGTGTTACAATACACCTACCATTCAATTTTTAGACTGATCATTTCTTTGTGAGTGGGCAAACATTCAAAATCAGCAGGGGATCAAATACTTATTTCCTTTACTGTAGTGATACATACATTAATATTCATACTTCTATAAAGTGCATTTTGTATAGGTTTTTACAGTTTTTAGGAAGATATTAAAATATATTTTTCTTTTTAGATGAGTTGTATTGTTTTCAATAATGTTGCACTCAAAAAGGGCTGGTTTACAGGAATTATTTATTAGCTCAGCTTAAAAAAACTATGTAAATTTGGAATACATTATCAGTTTTTTTAATTTTTGTTTTCTAGGCTAGCATGAAAATGATTCCTTAGGGCTAGGATCACACTACCATGATCTGATTTTCATTAAGAATGTAGTGTAACTTGGATGTGGTTTGCATATTCTGTGGGGCCAAAATTACACTGGAATCACAACAAAGTAGCCCACAAACCCTTTTCAAAATAATTCCATACTGAGTTGCATTGATGTGAACAGGTAGCATTAAAAACAATGTGATCTCCATTGTTATGCACTTCTCTGTGACTCAAGTCACATCTGAAATTGCACTAGTGTGAATGGAGACTTAGGAAACAGCCCTAGTATATATTTAGACTTTAGAGAGAGGAATGTGTCTGCCAGGCAGGAGAGAATGTGCACAGCTGTAAACTTGTCTTTCTTTCTCTCCTATACAGCGTCTGTCTGCTTGGGAACCGTACACTGTCTAGGCTAGGGTTTAGCACCTGTGCCAAGACAGTGCAGAAGGACAACTTAACTTCAGTGTCTGACTTGTGGGATATGTTCTGTCATCCTCTTGGGCTCCTAAATGCTACATGTGATGAATACTTTTTCCATAATAATGTTACAGAAATACAAGGCATTCCAGGTCTGAGCAGTGGCATCCTATCTGGTAATTAGCATTGCTTTGTTACCTCTACTTTTTTATTGTGTGCTATGGGATGCCATGTTGATCAGTTTTTCTGTTTTCTCACTCTGTGTCAGAGAACCTATGGAGCAATTACCTCCAGAAAGGAGAGATCATAGAAAAGGCTTCTTTAGCTTCATCTGAAGCGGTTGGGTCCCTCTCCCATGATTATGTTATGGCTGATATTACAACATCGTTCACCCTCCTTGTTGGCATTTTTTTTCCATCAGTTACAGGTATTGTTCAGACATCTCTACTGCCTATGCTAATATGTAAATTTGCAATAACTCTTAGCCATACATTAAAGTCTACGTTTATACTGACTGGCTTGTATTTATAGCTGCTCTGCTGGTTAAATTCCTGAAGTGTTCAATATTCTATTTTTGCCAAGTCTGCTCTGAGTTTGTGCCTGGAATTATGCAGGTCTTTGTTGGTCCACAACTCGCACATATTTATTTGGGTTCGTTTTAATGCCAGCTCCACCAGCAGTTTATATTTGCATTCTCTTCACTTCCCCCTTGCTCTGTTTGAGCTTACAAAGCTAAGAACTCCCTCTCCAGCCCCCACATGACAACATTGTGTACTTGTGAGCGGCAAGATGCCTGCATGCTGTAAAGTGAGAAAGGGACTAAAACTGGGTATACATTTACTGAAAATCATAGTAAAAATTTAAAAGTGAGCGCTATCCACTCAGCAGCACTCAAGGTAACCAACATAAACCTTACAATAGAATAGATAAAACAGTGCAGCGCTAATATTATGATTCAAAACAAAGGAAAGTATTAGACGACAAACTGATAATAAAAGTTCAATATAAATGACAGTCTATGTGACTATAAGGTGCCAGGTGACTGGTGAAAACTCGATGGTGGTGCTCCGTGAAAAAAAATGCAGAATTACGCACTCACCAGATGCGTAATAGTTATACGCATTAAGTATCACATCCAGAGATTTCCTCATCAGATATACATCTGGTCAAGGCTTAGGTGGTCCTCCGTCAGGGTAGTAGTCAGCAAATGCCCAGTAACAAATTACTCGGATCCAGGTAACCAGAGGTCCCTTTAAGGGATAGGTAGAAGAGACTGCCTGCTTACAGGATAGCTTCCTTCTCTGGGTATGGCAACTGGATCACAAAAACGGGCTCTGCAAATAAATACTCCAATACTGTCTGCATAGCTAGCAGACCCTTGCTGCTCTGACCCTCAGGCTTGGATCTCTGCCTATTCCAGCGCAAACATGCACCCCTCTGGCTGCTCTCTTGCGCGCACACACACATGGACTGGTGGAGAAGAGTGGAGCCACTCTGATGAGGAAATCTGGATGTGATACTTAATGCGTATAACAATTATTCATCTGGTGAGTGCGTAATTCTGCCATTTTTCACGGAGCACCACCATCGAGTTTTAACCAGTCACCTGGCACCTTATAGTCACATAGACTGTCATTTATATTGAACTTTTATTATCAGTTTGTCATCTAATACTTTTCTTTGTTTTGAATCATAATTTTAGTGCTGCACTGTTTTATCTACTCTAATGTACTGAAAATCATCCAGTTCAGCAGAATCCGGACGCATTTCAGTCCATGTGTACCCTTGTCTGTTAAACAGAACCCATACTTATGACTGGCTTCTGTTGAATAGTCATGCTGGAAGCATTCGAATAGTGCTTGCAGCCAATAGTTGCAAATGCCAATTATTGTATTCTAGTTTGGGGGGGTAGTAAGGGGAGTCCCTGCTGTCAGAATACACAAAGTGGGGGAAATCCCTGCATACACATCACTTGTGTTGATGCAGCAATCTGTGAGGTTTTTTTTTTTTTTTTTTTTTTTTTTTTTGTCATTCAACCCACTGGTTGAACGAAAAAAAAAACTGTATACCCTCCTTTAGTTGCATGTTCCCCCGTACCCAGAAGTAATGGGTGGTATCTTTGCTTCTGACAGCTAATTTGAATGGAGTGGAAGTAAAGAAAAGCTAAGTATATGTTGCTGGCGAGGCCATAATTAAAGTGAACTTGTTGCTTTTGCTGCAAGGGAAAAGCACAGGTTTGCATTAAGCCTATTGCAGTTTCTTAGGCTGGCCATACAAATGGAAATTGTCACACAATTTCAAACACTTTCAGTTGCAAAAATAATCAAACCGACCAGTGCAAGCTACCACTAAATGTTTTAGAGCCTCAGTAAGGGCATGATCTGTGTAGGCTGTACCACTGTGCAAAGAGTATTAGCACTAGTTCTAGAGGTGTGTCAACCTTTCTGACTACTTGTGTCATATATGAAGTACTAAAATATTCCAATACTGATTGGTCACTCACAGGTGGTTACACCTTTTTGTGGTGCTTTACTCTTCTTGCCCTGTTCCCCTCCTGAGGGACTTATTGACCTACAAGTCAACTCGGTTTAGTCCGTATGGCTTACTTCAGTAGCATGGACCTGACTCTTGTATGCCTTTGAACAGTTTATAAACCTGTTCATAGCACTAGCCCTTATGTAAGCCCTAGTGCTTTTTTCTGGCATCCCCATTATGGAATGATCAGGAGTCCTCTCCTGAAAAGTCTGCTTCCCCAATTCTTGTAGTTCAAACAATGCAGAGGGTTCTATCATCTGCAAACCTTGTCTAAATACCATTTACCAACTATCTAGAGTTAGTAATCTTGGGTCACCTTCAAGTGGAGCTGTTTAGCTCAGTTCTTCACTAAGAAAGTCCACTCCATGTGGACATTTATTTACTTCAGGTGTTTATAAAACGCCTTCAATTTTCGCAGCGCTTTACATATATATATTGCACATTCACATCAGTCCCTAACCCTCAAGGGCGTACAATCTAAGGTCCCTAACTCACATTCATACGTACACATAATAGGGCCAATTTAGACAGGATCCAATTAACCTACCAGCATGTCTTTGGAGTGTGGGAGGAAACCGGAGTACCCGGAGGAAACCCACGCAGGCACAGGGAGAACATGCAAACTCCAGGCAGGTGGTGTCGTGGCTGGGATTCGAACCAACGACCCTGTCCCCCTTTGTAATGTACAGCGCTGAGTGAACTATTGGCGCTTTATAAATACTGTATAATAATAATAATAATAGTACTGCCAGGCGTAAGTGCTAACCATTTAGACACTATGCTGGACCTTTGACCCTTTTGTCTATGTGTAACAGACTTTTCCCTGTTTGGGTCTTTTGAGGTTTGTGGGATTATTGGTGGAATTCCTATTTGGTATGCTCTCCTCTTTCTGTGTGGTCTATCAACCCCTTTCAGCTTCTCCCACTATTCCCACCTGGAATCTTGGCAAGGCTCCAAGCTGGTCTCTTTGAGCCAAGAAAACCTGGACTTGTTCGCTAAACTCTGGCCAGGAGGAGATTTATTGTCATCCTGCTGCCAACCCTTTGATCCTTATTCTCTAGACCAGACCGTTCATAAGCCATCAGAGAATCCTTCTGTTAGTTGGTCTTCTGACTTGACCTCTGTTGGACATTATCTGATGTAGGATGCGGTTACATACTGCCCATGCTGGATAGTGTGTAATTTGCCTCTTCTCTATTTACTCTTTAAGATGCTGCTTTCCAGATTCTTTCAAATGTTGATCTACAGATTGAAGAGTGAGAGTTCAGCACTTGGCTGCCCTTACTTGCCTCTTTGGAAGAGGTATCCATCACTAGAAGGTCATGTACTCCACTGAAAGGTCAGTAGGCAGGATGTAGATTCCCTGCAGATAGTGTAAGTCTGGAGAGCTTCCTGGGACCAGGAGATGCCAGAGCTGTGGTCTTCTGTGGAGGTCTCTTTAGATTTCTTCCTCTCTCCTGCTTTTTTTTTTTTTTTTTTTTTTTTTTTTTTTATATTTTAACAAATATTCCTAGTCATAGTTCTAGGATCTGTAAACCTCATTCCTTGGGGGAGGATTTTGCTTCTTACAGGGATGGGTTGGATGATTCTTAAATTTATATTTTTGGTAACTGGTTAGGCAGGCCTGCAGAGCTACTTTCACTCCCCAGAAGCATTGAAGGTATTGGTTGTAAGGAGTCCTATGCATCCTTTCTGATCTTAATGTTCTTGTACACTAACTTGCAAGTATTGTTGATCTCCCTACCCTCTCATTCCGCAGGATTCAGGGTTAGTAACCTTCATTTTTTTCCTGTCTAAAGTGATAGTAAAGGTTAATTTTTTTATTAATATAAAAAATAGATGTTAAACTTCCTTCTCTGTTCAATGATATTGCACAGAGCTGTCCCTTACCGCCTCTCTTTCAGTCCCCCGCCGGTGCTGTCCACTCCTCCTTATTCTGGGTTCTCTTTAGCAAGCTGGGAGCTAAGGGGGCACCCAAGCAAGCAATGCTCCCATGGTGGGTTGTGTGCATCCACACAACACACGCACAGCACTGGTAATCCACAACTCACAGGAGTTTGACTGACAGCAGCAGGAGCCTATGGCCTATCCTGCTGCTTGCAGTGTCTCCTGTGAAAGCAGGAAGTGAAGAAGTGAAAGGAGCTGTGCCAAATCAGGACAGCTTGGGATCTGTGAGTCCGTTAAGTGTTTAGGGGTGGGTGGATTAGATTGTGAGAAGTTGTTTTTTTTTGTTTTTTTTTTACCTTAATATAGATAATGCCTTAAGGTATTAAAACATGAATTTAGAACCACTTTAAAAGAGAACTATAGGCAAAACTTTTTTTTTTTTTTTTTTCATTTTGGATAGAGTAAGGGAGGGTTATAACCCCTGTAAGGTTTATTTTTGCCATCTTTGTCCCATTGAGCAGATTTACCTTCCCTTCCTATTCCATAGCTAAACAAGAAGTGAGAGGAAATCCCTGCAAATTAAGGGAATTTTTTGGTGACCCCCCCAGGTCACCAGAACTAGTGTCCCCATTGGAAAATTTCCCCTCTATTACTTTTCTGGGGACAGCCCAAAATTTGGGATTTTTTTTACTTTCACTTCAAATGATAATGGTAAACAGGACAAATAGAGAGGGTGAATCGCCCTAACGGGGGCACAGACAGCAATAAAAACTGATAGAGATTCTAATCCCTGTTCATTCTATCCAAAACAAAAAAAAAAACATTTTGCCTGTAGTTATCCTTTGAGGGCTCTTTCTTTCTACCTATTTTAGATTTTATGCTGTGATGGCTCTCGCTTCCATGGCTATTTCTTGTGGGATTAGTTTTCTAATCTGGTAACATCCTTTCTTATCTTTCCCTGAAATCAAGGACAAGGCGCCTTCACCTTAAGTCTCCTACTGTTAACTGGTTGGTATTTATCTAGATATGCTATATTTGTCCAATTCCTTTCCCTAAAATGCTAGGTTTATGTTTTTCCTGCAGTTAACTGAATTTTTATTTCACTAAGACATGGTGTGTGTCTTTGAGCTGAATCTTAAGAATTTGTTTATCTCCTGGACTTGGCCCAGTAAACATTTATTTCTTGTTGTCCAAATTATTGGTTGGTCTGGTTGCCTCCTGTTTGGGTAGTGTGTGTGTTCTTCCTGTTTTTAGTTGGATGAGAGTGGTTTACCCTTCGCTTAGCTGATTTGAGGTGTACCACTCCTTTAAGTGGCAGTTTCTTCTTAGCTGTGGAGCCCTGGGTTGATTCTCTGTGTCCTCCCCTTGGTCATGGTAGTTTTCATATTTTGTGTGGCCTTTCTTCAATTTGCATTGATTGAGGTGATGATTTCTTCAGATAATCTTTTGCAGTATGAGCTCTGTATCTGTTGGTTTTCTCAGTGGCTCTTGTCCGCCCCTCAGCCGCAGTGTTTTTGGATGTCCTGACCAAGGGCGGACTGACCATTTGGAAACTCTGGCACTGCCTGAGGGCCCGGGGTCAGTAGGGGGCCCCATAAGATGCCCCTGGTACTTTTTTTTTTCATAGGCTTTTTTGAGTTTGGGCAAGGACACAGGGGCCCCATGAGTTGTCAGTCCGCCTTTGGTCCTGACTGTTTAGGAATTCCAATATTCCCTTGTCCCCCAATGGCTGATAAAGAAAATAGGATTTTTGTACTTACCATAAAATCTTTATCTTGAACTCTATTGAGGGAAGCATGTATCCCCCCCCCCCCCCCCCCCCCCCAGGCTATTGGCTGTTTATACTATTTGCTCACAAAACTGAGGCATAACAGTTTAAAGGTGGGATTAAACTTCACCTTAGCAGTAAGGGCATACCACATGGTCTGTGCCAAGATACAGTATTAACCTGGAAGTCTGCAGAAGAAGCCAGTTGGAGACAGACACTTTTCAAAGTGTTCCCTTTCAGGGAACATTTTCTCCTTACAGGAGCAGTGTTTGGCAGTGTGGGCAACAGAAGATGTATTTACACTCTTCTTTTGCTTGACTGAGTAACTGTAGTATAGCGACAGTCACTTAAAGTGGTTGTAAACCTCAGCCATGAAATACAAACAAAGCATATCCCTCTACAGAGTGTACTTGTCTCTATCCAGAGCACGAAGTGTCATTTCTGTCTGCTGCCTCGTTCCTCTGCTATACACATGAATCACTTCTGAAGATTTTTCCTGACACCAGAGAGAAAAACAGTGACAGGGGAGGGCACAGTTTGTGATTGACATTATCAACTCTGTTTCTGTGTGAAGGGGGTGTGTGCTTTCCCTCCAATCAGCTCTCAGAGCTCTCTTCGCTGATGTAACTTCAGCTCTATGCTCCCTGCTTTTCAGAGCTGAGAGATGAGGTTTACATTCTGCACTTTGGATGTAGAGGAAAGACGGCAGGTACAATTTATGTAGGAGGATTCATTTCATCTCTGTGTATCACCTGAGACCAGTCACTTCATTGGTTATATGGAACACTAGCACATTATGCCATTACCTTGCAGGGGATTTTTTTTTTATCTGCAGTTTACTACTGCAGATAAAAAAGTATGTGAGTATACTTACAAAATATCAAAAAATAAAAACAATGATTAGGAAATATTAAACACAGTTTTATTTAGACTTGTGGTTATTATCATTAGCCTGTCTGTATATGGTTTTTAAAGGTGGTTTCTACTAGTATCCATGCTACAAGATGGATATTTTTTTTTTTTGTTGGTGATCCTAACATTGATTTATTACAAATGAACCTATGGCCCATGGATAAGGATATGACTACTGCTAATTTAATGATATTCTCTAGTCAGCTCTTTACTCTCTTGCAGGAATTATGGCTGGATCCAATCGTTCTGGGGACCTCAAAGATGCTCAAAAGTCTATCCCAATTGGCACAATTCTTGCCATCCTTACCACTTCCTTAGTCTGTATCCTTTTTTGTAATAGATTAGAACCAATGTATGTTCCAATTTATAACATTACAACATAAAATTACAATCAGGTGGTGTCCTTTATCTGAAATGGTAGACCTTGTCATTTATCTCATGGCAGAAGCTGACAACAATATAAAAAAAACAAAACAAAAACCTTTTAATCAAAGGTTGTATGTAACATATGGTTTATAAACCATGCTTGTATACAAATCACAAAGCATAAAGTTAGTCTATACACACAAACCTACTGGAGTCTAACTGATGAAAAACTCAATGATTTAGGTGTGCAGATTTCATATACTACAAATTTTACAGCAGCATAGTTCTTAGGAAAGGGGAAGCTGGAAATTGTAGAGCACATATTCTGAAACTGATTAAGTAGGCAAGTAGTCATGAACAAACATAGAATTGATACTATGGAACAGGGGACCATAAACCTATGCCCAGGAATCACATGTGTTTGAGCCAAGCATAAGTAAAAAAAAAAAAAAAAAAAAAATTTTTAAAAAGTGTGTGGGTAGCATGTCCCTGCAGTGCTTGAGTATATATAATTTCTTTGTGGCGTTTTATAGTGCCACTGTTTGAGTGAATCTATTTCTGTTTTAGGTTATGCTTATTTGCCTGTTTAGTTGTAGTCAGTTTGCTCTGCAGTTTGCAGTTCCCCTCAAATATTTGTGCTAGAAACTATGTACTAGGCTCTTCTAATCATGCTGTTTTAACTATTGTGGTATACAAAATTGGTACATTGTGTCTTTATTGTTATGCACAAAGGCCTGTGATCTTTGTATCCTCAATCATGTTTTGTGAGTAACCTTTTGTTTGATATCAGTTTTAATCTGTTTGCTCTGTGGTTGTTTTGTTTATCCATCAACTCTAATGCAGGCCATAGACGGGTCGTTTCTCGGCCAAATTTTCATCCGCATGAAAAATCGGCTGATATTCACGCCGTTCGTGGGGCCAGCCCGTCGACCGTTTTTTCGTGGATCTTCTGGTTTATTTTTATCGGTCATGCTGGCAGCATCGGCAATGGGGCCGACCGATTTTTCGTTTATCAGCCGACAATTCGGCCGATAAACGGCCCGTCTATGACCTGCATAATTCTGTGTTATGGTTTGCATGCTGTTTTGTTTTCTAGTTATTCTTTCTGTTTTATATGAACATTTGATGTCAAAGGACGAAAAACTACCATTTTTTTGTGGACATTGGTGGCAGCATTGGCAATGGGGCCGACCAATTTTTTTCGTTTATCGGCTGACAATTCGGCCGATAAAGCCCGTCTATGGCCTGCATAATTCTATGTTATGGTTTGCATGCTGTTTTGTTTTTTAGTTATTCTTTCTGTTTTGTATGAACATTTGATGTCAAAGGACTTTTATTTACTTTTCCTGAATCACCTTCTTTGTATACAAACCACCACTGAGCACAAGGAGCAACGACCATTGCATACTGCTGCTGTTTCGGGCATAACGCATTTTTTTTTTCTACAGCCAGTAAACTCCCCAGCTTGTTATCCTATGTGTCCATGCACATGTATGCTTTTATTAGCATTTTTTGGCAGGGGAGTTTTCAGGCTGTAAATAAATTACTGTTTGAAGAGGAGTTTTTTGGCTTTAAAAATGCTCCAATGCTGAAAAACGCGACTATCCGGAGTTTGAGCATTTTTGAGCCTCAAGCTTTTGGGGGAGTATAGTTTTGATAAAACATCTCATGGGGCCCCCTACTGACCCGGGCGCTCGGGCAGTGCCTGAGTTTCCAAATGGTCAGTCCGCCCCTGCTTGTACTATATGTAATCCTGTTTCACTATACATAAAACATTATGCAGGGAGAGCTATGTTACAAGCATGACATAACATTTGTATTATCTTCACAAAAAATTGTTGCACCCTATTCAAGTGAGCTGAATGCAGTGGTTACCTTCAGCCAGCTTGTACATTCTGTAGTAAAGTATGAGCTTGCCGGAGGAACCACTGCATGTGGTGTAGTAGGAATTCACACGCACCTAGAATTGCTGAATACATTCAATTACTGGGGAGCCAAATCAGCACAAGGGACATAATGTACAGTCCATAGGATGTCTCGCTTGGACTGATACTTCTGCTGTTCGAAGTCCTCCTCTGTCCTTGAATTACAGTTTCTGTGCATACATTTTAGGGCTTGTTCACGTTGCCTGCATGCTAAATGCATAGTTTTAGATTGCGTGCAACGGTCAGTTTTTAGGCACAGCGTGCGATGTGGTGAGGGTAGTGCAATTCAGCGCATTGCACGTTTCCTTTTTTAAATTTTTTTAAGCTTTATTTGAAGTGTCAAAAGTGATGCTTCATTCATGTGTCCACACATCAGCGCAATGCGTTGTGCTGCAATGCAGTTGCAAGGGGTGTCTCTCAGCAGGGCCTGTGCTACCACTAGGAAAACTAGGTAGCCGGGGGGATTTGTGCTAGGAGTGGGGATTGGGGATGTGTGCTAGGAGGGGGGATTTGGGGGATGGGATTGTGCTAGGAACAGATGTGTTAGGAGGGGGGATTAGTGCTAGGATAGGGGATTTGGGCAGGGGAGGTAGGGTTTGTGCTGGGAAGGGTAATTTGGAGAGGGTTGTGCTAGGAGGTGGGATTGGGGGGATTTATGCTGGGGGGGGTGAGATTTGGGGGAGAGGATTTGTGCTAGAGTGAAAAATTTGAGGGGAAAGAGGATGTGTGCTGGGGGGGGGGGGGGGGGTGAAGTAGGTGAAGTGTTTTTTTTTTTGGTTTTTTTTGTTTTTTTTTTGGGGGGAGGGGGGCAAGTAGCTGGTTTTGTCTAGAGCGCAATATAGTCTAGCACCGGCCCTGCCTCTCAGTGTGCTGTAGTAAAATGCTTCATGTCTGCATTTTACCACAAGGCACCTCCTATCTGCATTGCTGTGTGAATGGAGCACATACTGTAGAAAACAATTGTGTTCTATGTGTCTTAGTGGTGACTAGTGTTTATCCAGTACAGAAAAACACCAGTCACTACACTATGATTGAACACGCATTGAACCTGGTGCAGAAAGGTATATACAGTATATTTGGCTGTATTATAAAGGGTATTCTTGCACCGTAAAGCTAAGAAAGAAATCATGCTGAAGACTCATGCATACTTTCTCAATGTCATTTTACAACGCTTAAATCAATTTAATATCCGTCTGGTGGAAGTGTCCGCAAGTAACCTGTTATAAATATTGAGCGCATGAAAAAATAATGGAAATTGGACTTGAAATGTAATCTACCCATAACCTATCTGAAATACTTATGCTAGTGCTAAGTGCCTCTGCATTATATTAATTTCCATTTGCCAGTCAATCCTGCATAAACACTTTAGGCGTTCCCTAAATGTAAGGGTATGTATATGTCCCTGATTACATGACAGATGACAGAATATGTCTGGCTTTCTGAAAATAAATGCTAATAATAAAGTTCCAAGTACTAATTTTAAACAGTTTGTAAATGATAGCATACCTTACATTTAGCTACATTTTATCTATTTTCCTATGGTCTCGATTACCTCCATTAGACATTTACATGTTTCTGTAAAATTATGGAAGCAGGATATGTAATGTGTATTAAATATGTATAATGTTTTAGAAATGGGTGAATGAATCAACAGTGCTCGCATATTATTGTAATACAGTTACCAGGACTGTCTCCGATTCCCCACCCACGGGGGCTATGCCTCCAGGATCATCACTCCCAAAACTGTCCTGTGGCTGAGCTGGGACATCAAAGTTTTTTTTATTCTATGAAAATGGTTGTGTGACTTCATGGTATATTTGCATGCAGGTGAATGAATCAATGTGTTAAATAATAAAGCAGAATGCTTGATATCAGTTGAATACACAGTTGAAATACTGTGTGAATATGAATAGTTTTACCTGTGAAAAAATGTGCACACAATTCTACCACACAGCAAAACCTGAAAATAACTTCCCAATTTCCTCCTTCAGTCTTAGTTTCCCGTGTCTTCTGTCTCCTTATTGGACAATGAATTGGCAGTATGAGGGTTTATTGTTGAATAAACAGGCATTAAAGACATGACATTGGAAGCTCCAGATTGAAAACAGATTATCAACTACAATGTTGCAGGGTTTTGTGTCGCATGAGTGATCTCTGTAAAAGTACAATTATACCGACAGAAAAAAAACATTTATTGAAAAGCATAAAATATGTGTAATGCATATACAATTTTTAACTTGGTATGTAGCTGTTTACCCGGAGTGCCCTATGTTATACCATAAATGTCTACAGAGAAGTTTCATAATTGTAACATATGATTTGCTTTTTTGGCTAAAGAATGATTCCCAATGTTTAAAACTAGGGATGCACCAATACCGTTTTCACTAGCGAGTACAAGTACCAATGCTATCAACTGATACAGAGTACCGATACCTTTGCAGTGCGATTTGAACCCATACAAAATGAATGCATTGTGATTCCTGTCCAAATCTCATGCGGTTTCCCCCATCGCTCCTGTTTGATCCCACATGTTAAAAGTACATAATATATCTTGCATGTCAAATCCAAAACCAGGACCGCTTGCTGTGCTCACAGGGCTGGAGGAGATATAGGAAGTTCTGGGACCTCTGTGAGTATAGGGCAGAAGCGATGTCAGCTTGGGGGTGGACCAGCCTATACATCTTCTCCAGCCCTGTGAGCGCCACAAGCAGCCGTGGTTTTGGATTTGACATGCAAGATATATTATGTACTTTTAATATTTGAGTTGTTATAACAATAAGAAATTGTTTGCTTATTGATGCACTTCTTAGATGGTGCTTCCCTGTCTTTCTATACTGGGATCACACAGGAGTGGTGGTGAAACTGCATGCGATTTGGGCTTGAATCACACTGTATTCCTGTTCCAATCACATGCGATTCTTTGCAGTGAGATTTGAGCTCATTAATTTTGTATGGGCTCAAATCGCACCTCAAAGGTATCGGTTTCGGGTATCGGGAGCAATTGCAGGAGTATTCGTGCAAGTATTTGGTATCGTCGCTGATATTGGTATTGGTGCAACCCTGTTTAAAATTTTATGTTGTACATAACCAGTTTTGCTTATAGTTAATTTCCTTAATTCTGTGGACTTTAGATCTTAGTAATGTTATCTTGTTTGGAGCCTGCACTGATGGAGTGGTGCTCAGAGATAAGTAAGTATCGTGCAAAGTAAGTATTTTGCAGTTCTTTCTTTAAAGTGGCATTAAACCCAAAAGCAAACGTTTATTATATTGCAGCTTACCAATTCATTTTCTTTTAAGGTTTTCTTACCTTTATTACCTGGTGATCCAGGCAGTGAGTCACTTCTTTTTCAAAAGAACAAGTTCACCTGCAGATGTAGCAGTTGCAGGGATGAGACAAACCATTTACCAGTGACAGGGGTGCTTACAATGATTAGTTTATCCCAAAAGAAAAAAAAACTGTTGCTCTAACAGCTTATAAAGTATTAAGCTGGTCATATATTATATAAAGATATATAGTATTGCGGTCACAACCTTCCAATATATATATATAGACAAATGAAAAAGTGTATACGATATACATAAATAACTAAATAAGTGAATATAAAAATCAACTCACATAAACGGAATAGTGAAAAATACTAAAAGTAAAATGATAAAATAATATTATATGATAATAATGTCCCACAAAAAAACATATAAGTGACTTTGTGCTGAAAAATCTTCTATATCTTTAAATAGGTGACTGCTTGTGCCTCCTCCCTCAAGTGAAGATGTGCGCTCACCTCATAGATAGCCTGCAATTAGGCTATTTAGCTTGCGGTTCACCTCCTTGGAACCTACTTGTTTAGGAACTGATGTTGATAAGATAACCATTAAATGCGACATGTGCTGTAGAAAAGTATCCTCTCACTGGGTGCCACTCAGCTGTCTTCTTATTTCCATGTGATTCTCCATAAACAAGAAAATTCTGACATGGTGCTTTATCGTTTTAAAAGCTTTTAATGTGAAGCTGACAGGTGGCTCTCACATAAATCATATAGTGGTAGTACAGCTGATTCAGACCTCCGCTGGCTGTTGGAGCTGTGCGTTCGTGATCCGATGACCGGACCGACTCCCTCCGAGTGACGTGAACAGGGGTGGGACTGTTCACGTCACTCGGAGGGAGTCGGTCCGGTCATCGGATCACGAACGCACAGCTCCAACAGCCAGCGGAGGTCTGAATCAGCTGTACTACCACTATATGATTTATGTGAGAGCCACCTGTCAGCTTCACATTAAAAGCTTTTAAAACGATAAAGCACCATGTCAGAATTTTCTTGTTTATGGAGAATCACATGGAAATAAGAAGACAGCTGAGTGGCACCCAGTGAGAGGATACTTTTCTACAGCACATGTCGCATTTAATGGTTATCTTATCAACATCAGTTCCTAAACAAGTAGGTTCCAAGGAGGTGAACCGCAAGCTTTAATAGCCTAATTGCAGGCTATCTATGAGGTGAGCGCACATCTTCACTTGAGGGAGGAGGCACAAGCAGTCACCTATTTAAAGATATAGAAGATTTTTTCAGCACAAAGTCACTTATATGTTTTTTTGTGGGACATTATTATCATATAATATTATTTTATCATTTTACTTTTAGTATTTTTCACTATTCCGTTTATGTGAGTTGATTTTTATATTCACTTATTTAGTTATTTATGTATATCGTATACACTTTTTCATTTGTCTATATATATAGATTGGAAGGTTGTGAGCGCAATACTATATATCTTTATTTCACGCTTATTCACATTGGTAGTTATGTGTTAAAAAGTTTGCGATCCAACAATAGGAATTTATTACTTGGCTCGCAAGGTTTTTTCAAATAATTTGGTCATATATTATATATCATGTATATATCATATAGTATACTATTTTTTAACTTCAATTTCCTTTAGATTTACCTTCAACTATGTAGTGCAAGGGCCTGCCTGATTGCATGCAAATTGAAAGTTTTTAGGTTTGGCCTCATATTATATGGTTTTGGTAAGTCAAAAGAAAAATTGGACAAGAAAATTGTATATTCTATAGCCTTAGCTGGAGTTTGAATTCAATTTGTCAGTGTATCTGAATCTGCTAGTACATCTAACACTCCTTGCCCCCCAGACTGACAATGCTGCTGTCCACCTGTGCTCCTTCATCCAGAGTGGTGGCACTCTAATACAGGAGATGTGTTACTGGCAAGATCCCCAGGTGAAAACAGAGGTGGGAAAAAAGCTTAAAAAAACTAAAACTAATGCAGCCACCACATCTGAGGATTTTTTTAAGCTGCAATATATTACATTTTTGGTTTTGAGTTTTACACTACTTTAATTATCCACATATTATACAGCACTGCTCTCCAAAATGTAAATTCCTTAAATGGCCCTTTTTAAAGTTTCCCCTACCACCCTGAATGGTAGTCGCCAAGTAAAATATTTCCCTTTATTCATTCTCCTGAAATTTTTACTGTGTGGCCTGGCCCAGCACTGTGCACACTTTGAAGCACAAACTTCTCCTTCCCCATCTAGCTCCTACTCTGCATGCACACCACTCAACCCATGCATTCCTTTGATTCTGTCCATAGCCCTGAGGAATGGCTGATGGCTACAATGAGTATGAACTAGCCATAGGACTGAATGGGCCGAGCGGCATGCATGTACAGTAGGAGCTGGACACTGTTGGAGTTTTGCTGCAAATGCTGTGTGGCATTGGGAAGATCCAAAAAGAGAATATCTCAGGAGATGATAGTAAGTGTTATGCTAAAGGATTTTGCATGCAATGTGAAGGTCATGTGACCCATTTTTCAGAAAAACTGCATGAGATAGCAATTCATCAAAGTAAATTATCGAATGTGAGGTGAATACAGCATACTGATGTAAGGTTGACCTTAAAAACAAAACTTGCCAAAAAATTTTCACAAGGTAAATGTAGCTCCTGCCAGGCATAATAGGTTGGAGATATGATGGGAATTATAATGTATGATTAGGGTAGGAAAAAAGATTAACATGATTTAAAAAAGGGCAAATCTAAAAGGATCGGGGGAGAAAAAAGTTAGGGATCCTTGAAAGTATCTGACAGGTATACATTGTATTAGGTCATAAATAGTTAGAATATTCGATGTTTAGTGGAGGAAGGACAGTTAAAAGAATATTTATGTATTCAGTTAGAAATCTAGTTTCGTTGTGAATTGTAAAATGTTTGTTAAACAAAGCATCGTAACTTCAATTTTATTCTTGGGTTAATTAGAGATACAGAAAACCTTGTAGCAGCTTTCATAATACATTGTAGAGATGAACCTTGTTGTTGGTAGACTAGATGATGTTGCAGTAGTCGGAGCAAAATATGAAGGCATGAACAGGAACATGAATGGTCTCTTGCTATGGGAGCAGAAGAACTGATTGGTGGCTTGTGCAGATGCGTTCAATATGACATCTAGGGTTTGTTTCTTGCAGGTTTGGAGATGCAGTAAAGGGAACTCTTGTAGTAGGTGCCCTCTCTTGGCCTTCCCCTTGGGTCATAGTGATTGGATCATTTTTTTCTACCTGTGGAGCAGGACTACAGAGCCTGACGGGTGCCCCACGACTTCTTCAGGCCATTGCCAAGGATGGAATCATCCCTTTCCTGAGGGTAACAACTGAATGAATGTTGATATTTTTAGATACTGTATCTAGGTAATTCAGGAAAAATAGATTTGCACGTAAAAGGTAAGCAATAACCTTTTTCTTTTTTCCCTTTCACAAAAACAGGTATTTGGTCACGGAAAGAGCAACGGGGAACCTACTTGGGCATTGTTGCTTACAGCTGGAATTGCTGAGCTGGGGATTCTCATTGCTTCTTTGGATTTGGTAGCACCAATCCTGTCCATGTATGTAATTTCATTACCTGCAAGTCAAGTGATTTATATACAATATTAAGTACAAACAACTTTAATTTGGATATACAAATTCAAAATTCACTACCGTAGTTTGTATGTAGTTTTCCAGGGAGCACAGTACAGTAGTAACCAGCAGATTGATCGCTCATTAACTTTTATGACTGTTCATTACCTTTTTTATTTTTACAAATAATTTACATTTTGGAAGATATAATGGATAACCACAATATAAGTATGCTATCTTGACCAGTAAGATAAAAGTTATTATTGACAATAGATTTAACTACACAAGTGCATTTGTATAATGTGCATTTATTGTAATCAAAGTACTGTTGGCCAGTTACGATTGAACCTTTACAGTACTATTTTATTTTATATATATATATAAAGTGATACTATACCATGTTTTATTCAGATACTCCATGTTGTTGTGTGTTAATAGTTTTCTTGTTGTTCACTTATGCTTACATTGGCTTTCTAAATCATTCACATACCTTTTTTTTCCAGATTATTTCACAGTTTTTAATTTTAAAGTGAAAAGTTGTTTTAATTGTGGACATACACTTAAGTATGCAAAATTTACATACAGTTCCCCTATTTATTCTTCCTAGTATATCTGTTGGATTTTGGGGTATGCCATTCTTTTTATTAGTGCCTGTGTTCTGTTGTGCAGTCACTGTAATTCATTCTGACATCCATTCTGTCTGTATGACTTCACATCTACTAGGTTCACAGATGTGACTTCATTGTTCAGTCATATTACACTGATATTGTAATTGGTCTTAAGAGAAGTCATTGTCATGTTTGTTCTCATCTCTGCTCACCACTGTTCCATGGTCTATTGCACTGAAAAGAATGGCAAGATGTTACTCTATATTTTAAGTGAATATAGGACTGATCTAAATCTTTTTTCGGGTAGACTACATGTCTCAGTATAGATGGCCATATAAGCAAATAATTGGCCGGTTCAGCAGGAACCAGCTGAATTTCCATACATCTATGGGCAGGTTGGTTGTATTGCAGTTGATTTCTCCATCAACTTCAGTACAACCAGCCTGTTGGGTTTTTTCATGTGATCACTGCTGGTGGCTAAAGCCTCCAGCAGTGATCATCGTATTCTGACAGCTAGGAAACCTCCTGCTACCAGAATAAAATAGTGCAGCGGGAGGGATTGAAGGAAAGAAAATTGTATAATGTATGGCTGCTTAAGTCTCAGCACAGTCTTAAAAAGAAATAATTTTAAAACAGAGGGTCATACTTTAATTACTTTTATATTCAGTTTTGTTCTAACAGACAACAAGACATGATAAGCTGTAGCTGAAAATAGTGTATTATTAGTGTAATAATTAAACGGTTTAGCTCCTCACATGTGATGTATCAGTCATTTGTCTGCCATACTAGATTACTGTTCTACAAATCCCCCCTCACTCCTCCTTGAGTGACAGCTTAGTACTGACAGTGTCAAGAAACGAATACACAAAATGAAAGCAAGAGCTGACCATAAACTCTAGAAATAAACAGACACCATAGAGTTCTGGAAAAGAGGCTGTACAGCTGAATATTCAGTATTAAAATGTATATAAACCCAAGAACAGAAAATGTTTAGGTTTTATTCTCCTTTTGTTTTCGCCTGATGATCCTGCCAGTAGTACACTTCCTGTTACAGGGAAATAACACTCAACGCACTGTATCTATGAAGGAACATCATTGTCACTTCGGTGTGTTTCGACTACAAAATGGCTTCTCCTCTCCTCTTATCAGTAACCTAGAGGGAGGTGTACTGTAGTTCACGAGGTGAGCTGGGCAGGGCTAATAACACTGCCTGATTATTGTAGTGCAGTGAGTACAAAGGATATTCAAACTCCATGGATTTCTGGCAGGAATAGTTGGTATATTTTTTGTCTCCTTTATTGAACTGATATAACATAGCACTTTCAGTTGTATATTTACCAGACCAAAATGGAGCAAATAAGAGAAGTTATTTGTTAGGGTTTGTATACACTATAACTCTTAGTAATAGCTGATCATATTTTATAGTAGAGAAGCTGTGATGCATCTTTATCCATCTTTCTTTGTCTTTAACAAATAGCATACACTAGGCTTAATTCTCACAAGCTATCACCGCAGGATTTGTCTACTTCTTTTCAAAAAGGTGACCGTTATTTTCAGCTGGGTCCAATGAGATTTGAAATTTACAGTCATGGCTGAAACATAAAAAGTCTTAAACTTATGTTAAAGCTTTTTGAATTAAGCCTAATGTGTTACAAAATATAGTATAGTTTACAGATGCTGAAGTCTGTTTTGTCTAGACCCTATCCATGCCCTCAGTCTCATGTTGCTTTATCATAGGTTTTTCCTGATGTGCTACCTTTTTGTCAACTTGGCTTGTGGGTTACAGACTCTTCTCCGTTCTCCAAACTGGCGGCCACGTTTCCAGTATTACCACTGGTAAGTTCCATCATCATATCTTCCAGCCTTCCTGTTTGATTTTAATTCATTTTATTTTCAGGTTGTCAAAAAAATATTGATTTTACTTTTGCTTGGTTCTTACTCATTAAGACCTTGTTCATACCTGTCAAGGTCCTACCTTTTCCCAGAGGTTATGTTTCTCCATGTGCTGGCATCCATGTTGGATTTCTGCAGAGCATGATGGGAATCTTTTATGCCTTCTGGTCTCTGAGGTCCCCCATATATAAGCCTGTGGTCCGCACATGCCCTTTGCACTTGTGTCTTTGTGTTGTTATTACTCTGTTCTGACTCTCGTGACTCTCCTGGAATCTGACTCGGCTTGTGACCTGACCATTCTTTGTGTTCTCCTTTGATCTGACCCTCCGTTGCTGAACTCGACCCGTGACCCGTGATTCTCGTCTGCTGTCCTGTACCGTTTTGTCCCGTTGTTGTCGACCCGGCCTGCCCGACTACTCTATTGTCTTTTCCACCAGCTACACACCATTGGCGGCGGCCATTACCGCAACTGAGGTGTCTCGGGGGCCGCGACCTGGTTCCTGGCTGCGTCAAGTCCATCCCCACCATCAGGGGCCCTGGCGAAGGGCAGCCTGGGACTTAGACTCAGTGTTTCCAAGATGCCTTGCAAGCTGACAGGAGTGAGAGTGGCCTGCTGTTTGTCCACGGTGGTGGTGTCTGACCCTTATACTGGCATTTCAAGAGTGTCTGCACTGCAATCCATCTTCCTGCTCATAGTGGTGGCTGCACAGGATTTACATGGGACACATCACATGACTCAGGCTGAGTTTTCTTATATGTGTGACCTCTACCATCTGTTTTCATGTGTACTATTTCAATAAAGGTATCGCTGCACTATGAAGCTCCTTTGCACCCTTGTTTACCCTCCTTTTACAGAATGTGCTTTGGATCCCCAGTTCAGCTTCAAGGGGCAGCAAAGGCACAAAGCAAGTGACAGCTTTCTTATGTTTAGCACACAGTTACACCTCCAGGATGATCGTAATTGATATTACTTGATATTACAGGTACTTCGGTCTGTGGGTGGTGGTTGTCGCAAGCCAGTGCGTTATATTGTTATTAGGCCTGCCTGTCCGTTTCCTCAGCTCCTGCCCTGACAATACCATACGTGCATAGAAAACTGATGGAAACGTATGCACACATTTCACTTGCAGAGACGTCAGTTTTCATACGAGTTTATACAAGTTGCAGATTTTGGCACAGAAAAGTCTGCGTGTGATACTAGTGTTGTGGTGTGAACAAAGCACATAGAGAACAATTGAGTTGGTTGTGCCTTTGCAGAATGCATGCAGATAAACTGAGGCCTCTGCACTATGGTGTGAATGAATCCTTAAAGTTTACATTGCAAAACTTCACAGGAATTTACATTATCATACATAATTCAAATTTAATGCTGAAAGTTATCTTATGAAAGCGAGAACTGGGGTAGTTCTGAGTATGGAAGTTTTGACATTGAAAATAGATGTAATAATAGAATAACCCAAAAACCTTAGGCCACCTCTTATACCTAATTCTCTCCTCATCTGAAATGAGAGAATCTCTAAATTAATGTTTAAAGCGAAATTAAATTTAATGGAAGACTTCCCTTCACCTCTTGTCCTGGTGACAACTCTAACATTTTAGGTTTCTCCTCGCCTTTTCTTTCAGTGACAATGGTCACAAGTACAAATAGAGTGGTGAATCTCCACTGCAGAGGTAAATATAGCAATAAAAAATTGACATGCTAAGAATGAAAAAAAAAAAACCTTAAACCCAAGGCACTTTGTGACTTAATTATAAAGTACTTCCTCCTACTATGAAATAAACCTTCAGTGAATAAAAAAATGTATTTAAAAAACTGCAAATGCAACAAAGTATAGAATTATTGTGTACAATATCCTAATATTTACTGTATTTAAATCTCAGCATATCAATTACGATCATCCTGGAGGTGTAACTGTGTGCTAAACCTAAGAAAGCTGTCACTTGCTTTGTGCCTTTGCTGCCCCTTGAAGCTGAACTGGGAATCCAAAGCACATTCTGTAAAAGGAGGGTAAACAGGGTGCAAAGGAGCTTCATAGTGCAGTGATACCTTTATTGAAATAGTACACATGAAAACAGATGGTAGAGGTCACACATGTAAGAAAACTCAGCCTGAGTCATGTGATGTGTCCCATGGAAAGCCTGTGCAGCCACCACTATGAGTAGGAAGAGGGATTGCAGTGCAGACACTCTTGAAATGCCGGTATAAGGGTCAGACACAGGGGCGGACTGACAACTCATGGGGCCCCCGGGCAATAGGGGATCATGGGACCCCTGTGTCCTTGCCCAAACTCAAAAAAGCCTATGAAAAAGGTACCAGGGACATCTCATGGGGCCCCCTACTGACCCTGGGCCCTCGGGCAGTGCCCGAGTTTCCAAATGGTCAGTCTGCCCCTGGTCAGACACCACCGCTGTGGACAAACAGCAGGCCACTCTCACTCCTGTCAGCTTGCAAGACATCTTGGAAACACTTTTTTGGAGAAACTTCCCCTACATCAGCTTAACCCAGTTAATCTGTAAACACCCTTGTGAGTGCAATACCTACTGTCTGTTTTTAAGTGTATCCTTTTAATAAAGGCATTGCTGCGTGGGCATGGTCTGGCGTGCAGGGGAAATGGCAGCTTAATACCTGAGCTCCGAGTCTGCCGGAGAGTTTATGCAGCTTTTTTGGGGCGCTGACTGCATGATGGGCAAGGTAGGCAGATCCCTGCCTTTCACAAACACCCCGCACTCCTGCTTGGGGAAAAATCTCCCGGAGATTTTTCGTACCCAGCCTGCAGACACACAGGGGCCTATGCCTCCTTCCACAAGTGGGGAGGCCTCAGAGGCATCAGACTTGCCTAGCGGTTCCATGCCGCGCTCTAGCAAGGGAGACACAGAGGCGATGCTGTCTATTATTAAACAAGTGCACAAGATGTCAGATCTGCAATCAATAGCAGCAGACATTAAAAAGGCTTTAGCGGAGGCAGTGACAGACCTCAAAGAAGAACTCAGGGGTGTCTCGGACAGGCTGATGGAGGTAGAACAGGCGGCGGAGAGACACGATGCCGACATAAGAGAATTGCAACACCAAGCAAGTCGATATAATGTGCAGTTTATTGATTTGAATAGCAAACTAGAGGATCTTAATAATAGAGGCCGGAGAAACAATCTTAGAGTTCGCGGAATCCCAGAATAGGTAGAATATGCTCAGCTACCAGCAGCATTACAATCTCTATTTAACACCTTACTCAACAAACCTCTAGATTCGCCGATAGTTCTGGATCGCGCTCACAGAGCCCTCCGCCCAATGGGCAAGGAGGGGGATCCACTCCGGGACATTATATGTTGTTTTGTGGATTATCAACTAAAGGAGGATATCTCTCAGAAAAAGAGCAAGAGGAATTTACTTTTAATGGGGCGGAGGTGAAAATATTTCAGGACCTTTCCCTAATTACTATGCAGCACAGAAGGGCAGTTAGGCCATTGCTTCAGATCCTAAGAGAACGCCGCATTCCATACAAGTGGCGTTTCCCATTTGACCTCACAGGTATGCTTCAGGAGAGATAACATAGCATCTATACTCCCTTTGACCTTCCCCAATTTTTTGAGTGGCTACATGTCCCTCCAGTCCTGATCCCAGAATGGTGCCAAGCATTCCAGCTACTGGACCTGTGGAAGAAATCTCTTCAAGCGTCCGATTTGTGAACCCCTCGATGGAAAGGAACATATCGTAGAAGTCTTCTGAACAATGTTTCCGACTCGCATCAGGCCTAATATGGACATCTCTGTTTTCCTGTCATACTGTTATTGCCCATGCCCATTTAAGTAAAGACTGCTTAGTGAGGTTGCCATCATTTGGCTTGGTTGCCTGCCAACTCGGCTTACAGATGTCAAGAAGATTCACATCCTATAATCTTTGGCCTCTATGGCTTCTTGTAGGCCTTAGGCGGTAAACTGCAGGACCTCTTGTACCCATCATATCTTGGTCTTCCATTTGGGGGGGGGGGGGGCGGTAATGATATATTATATACTGGAAGTTATGTTTTGTCAGTTTTCTGGTCTTGCCTTTTTTGCCCTTCCATCCCTTGCTTCCCCCCCCCCCCCCTTTTTTTCCTCCCTGGCTCCCTCTCTCCTTGCCCCCCCCCCCCCCCCTTTTTTTTTTATTTCTATTTTTTTTATTTTTATTTTTTTCTTCTCTTTCATTTGTGTTTGCCTGCCTGTCCCCTCCCCTTCCCCCCCCCCCCTCATTTTGCTAAGTTGTTAGGATGATGGTGGTGAATGAGGGATCCTTGGGGGTTAAGAGGAAATATGACTTGTGCCCTGTTAAGGGTTGATGTGTCAGTCCTTATATTGCCTGGTAGACACCCGGTGTTGCTGCTTTGACCCCCGGGGATATCTGTAGGTATACAATATATTTCCTACTTTGTGGGTTGCGTGTTCTGGTGACCGAATCCTAAGTGATCTTGATATACAGGATCAGTGTGTTGGATCACGAGACGGATATCTGGCTCTTTTGGGCAAATAGTGTACTTTAATATTTCTGTTATATTTTATGTTTTAGTTCATATTTGCATCTATGTCATACTTGATGGTTGATTTTGTTGGGAGTGACGAGAAGACGGCTCAGCCTAGATGGTTTGCAGTGTGCTCTTAAGTATATAACTGCCCAATGATTACCTTGGCCAGACTGCTTTTTGGTTTGAAATCTGCTTCCTTCTGCCCGGTTACACTTTAATTTAATAACATTACTACTTTCTGGCGGACAGGGGTTTTCTTGTCTTGCGCCTTGGATTTACTTTACCCCAAGCAGCTGGGCAATTGCCTGGCTGACCTTTTTTCAGTTGTTTAAGTGAAACTTGGGTTAGTTATTCCCAAATCCCTGGTTGTAACCAGGTTTCACCCGAAACTGCCTACTCTTTATCTTTTTCATTTACTTTTCCTTCTTGTGTTCATATATCTGAATTCTACTTCTGCTCTACCTTGTTCTTTCTTTCTCTCCTTCCTCCTCATCATCTTCCTCTTTCTTGTGGGCTTCCCCCCCCCCCTTTTTTTTTTCTTCCCTCCACCCTCCCACGTTCCTTCAGGGAGGAGATCGAACGAGCAGTACGACTCCATTGGGGAATATGCCCTTTGCACGCCATTTAAAAATGTTCTCTCTAAATGTCAGAGGACTGAATGTTCCTGAGATACAGTCTATGATTTTATCACAAGTTTCTAAACAAAAGGCCAGTGTTGCCTTTCTCCAGGAGACACATTTTAAAAACTTGCAAATTATTATAAGTATCCCCATTTGTATCATGCTTCGGCCTCTGAGTCGAAGTTGAGAGGGGTGGCGATCCTCCTTGCTAAATCTTTGCCCTTTTTCTTTGCTGAACAATTGGTGGATCCTGAGGGCTGGTATATTTTTGCCAGGGGCTCTGTGTATAATCGACCAATTACACTAGCGAATATTTATAGCCCCAATACGAAACAAATGTCCTTTATGCGTAAGGTTGTAGAGGAGTTGACGTCATTCACCTCGGGACTCCTGATTTTGGGAGGTGACCTGAATGTACCTTTTAGAACCACTTTTGGATTCGTCGACTGGGACTTCTGCCATCCCATACAAAGCTCTCAAACAAATTAAAGTTCAACTGCCCTCTCTGTTTTTACACGACTCGTGGCGGACTCATAACCCCTCTTGTAAAGAATACATACTATTCTCATATACCTAAGTATTCGCGTATTGATTACCTCTTTTTATCTCAAGCAGATCTATCATACTTGTGTAACGTTACTATCAAACCGCTTTATGCCTCTGATCACCACCCGATTACCATGACACTCCAATTTCCTGAACGGGATCTAAGAACCAAATTTTGGCACTTAAATCCTTCCTTGCTGGGAGATCCATCCCATTTGGCCCAATTTCAGGAACATTTACGAGAGTTTTTCACTCTCAATTACACCCCTGTAACCTCCCCAATGATTCAATGGCTAGTGCATAAGTGTGTAATGCGGGGACACTTTATCACCCTTTCCACAAAAATGAAATAGTCCAGGCAGGCTTTAGTAGATAGGCTTATTGCCCATAATTATACTTTGGAAATTAAACATAAACGCTCACAGGTGGTGCAGTCCTTTTGAAGCTTTGATTCAAGCCTGACAAGTTGGAGAAATTGGATGGTAAGGTATGCAGGAAATGTACTCTTCGTTCTAAACTCTTTTATGAACATGCCAATAAAAATGGTCATTATCTGGCAAGAGCACTCTAGAAAACCAAGCAGGATATGACCGTTCACTCCATTAAGGATCAGTCGGGCAAATCTACGGAAGCTATTGTATCTGTTTGTTCAATACTACGAAAAACTATATAACTTATCGTCGACAGGAGGTCCTCTGGGAAGTGCCTCTGACCACGCGAGTGCAATTCAGACGTTCCTCCATCAGTATGGATTTCCTCTTTTACCCCTTAACGTAGCTGAATCCATTGATAAGCTAATTTCAACTGAGGAGGTTCTAGCGGCACTTAAGAGCATGAACCCAGGTCCAGACGGAGTGCCCACTTTATATTACAAAACGTTTCAGGATTTGCTTCTCCCTCATTTTTTGTGAGCATTCAATTCGTTGGAGGAGCACTTGACACCCCCGATTCAACTTTTAGAAGCTCACCTCAAGTCCAAAATATACCACCCAATTTCCGTACTAGACATAGATGTGAAATTGTTCGCAAAAGTTCTTGCTAATCCTCTATTGGCTTACCTTAAATCGTGGGTGTCGTTGGATCAGGGAGTTTTATCCCAGGCAAAGAGGGTCGTGACAATACGATTAAGGCTTTGGATATACATCACTGGCTGACCTTGTCTAAATACCTTGGGTTTTTTCTCTCCATGGATGCAGAAAAAGCATTTGATAGGGTATCTTAGGAATATATGGCCGCAGTGCTATCAAATGCAGGACTGTGGTTCAGAATGCAGCCCTTTATTGGCTCCTTTATACTCCAAACTATCGGCCTCAGTGAAGGTCAATGGGTTGTTGTCCAAGGCTTTTTCAATTGCAAATGGAACGAGACACGGCTGCCCCTTGTCTCCCATTTTTGTGCTGACATTAGAACCCTTTTTGAGACTAGATTCGAGCAGACCCTGATATAGCTGGTATAACAATTGGTCGCATATTTATAAGGTGGTGGCTTTTGTGGATGATATCCTTCTGTTCCTTTCTCGTCCCTTAACTAATCTCCCAGCTCCAGTAAAGGTGATCAGGGAATACCAAGTGTTCTCAAGTTTCATACTCTACCTTCCGAAATTGCATGCTTTTAACATCACGCTCTTGAAGGATATGCTTGCTCAATGCCAACGAGAATTCCCATTTGAATGTCAGTTAAACGGAATCATATATTTAGGGATTTTTTTGCCGGCATCACTATCGGATTTGTATTTTCTCAATTTCCAGTCTTTGCTTCGCAAAATAGAAGATGATTTAGTTAATTGGAATATCCTCCATTTTTCTTTCTTGGTTCGGCAGAGCGGCAGTGATCAAAATGACCATATTGCCACAATGCCTGTATCTTATGCAGGCTATTCCAATCTCACTCCCCCGAATCTTTTTCCACACGACACAGCGCCTATTCTCTAGATTTATATGGAAGAGCAGCACCCCCAGGATGAGTTTATCTCAACTATGCCAACCAAAAAGCAGGGGAGAGTTGGGAGTGCTGATCTTGGGTCCTATCATAGAGCCTGCCTGCTCACCAGAATGGTGGATTGGCATATACATGCACAGATGAAGGATTGGTTGGACTGGAACAGGAGATAGCAGCTGGACGGTTAGTGTTGATACCCTGGTTGCCTGCATCAACTACTGAAAGACATCTGGCAAATCATCCGCTCATGGGAGCGACACTATTATGTTTCAGATGGGCCTGTAGAGCTAGGGGGGTGTCTTCCATATCGAGCCCGATGACTCCTGTTATAAACAATCTGGCCTTTCCCCTGGGCCTACATCCCTCCATCCGTAACACTTGCATTGCTGCCTCCTTTACCAGAGTTGGAGACTTTTTTTCAGAAAGGTAAGTTTCGATCAAGGGCGGACTTAGCTCATAGACTCCCCACCACCCTTTCAGTGGTGGTCTTCTCTACAAATCAGACATTTTGTGTTGGAATCTTCATACCGTGAGTTGTGCGGTAGACAACTCACCTTTTTTGAGACGCTCTGCCTATCTAAGGACTTGCGGAGACACTTGATTTCTATCTTAACTTGACGCAAGAAGTGTCTGAAACTACTATTGGACACCTTAGTAAATGGGAAAGAGATTTGGATGTCTCCCTGACTCCAGTGAATAGAGAACAAGCTCTTAACACAATACATAATGGTATAGTAAACGTGTCGGTTCAGGAGCATAATTTCAACATTTTCACGCGTTGGTACAGAACTCTCCTCATCTTCTGCATAAGATATATTCTGCAACCCCAGATTTCTGTTGGAGATGTCGGCAAGCATCGGGTTCAATGCACCATATTCGGTGGGAATGCCCTGCATTGCGAATAATTGCTTGTGCACTGTTTGTTTTTTTAGATAGCTATGAGCACAGTGTTCAGGTTTATTCTCTTGGACTCTTGGTTCTACTCCATTATCAGTTTGACACGCCTAGATGTTGATAGGGTGCCTTATGAGGGAATGATTCCTTATATTCTATTATGGTGTGATACTGTTGTACCTATTGTGGGGGGGGGGGGGGGTTTGTCACATGTTATTGTCCTATCGTTTGTATTGACGCTTGTACTGATATATGTTTAATATGTAATAAAAAAATTATTATGGAAAAAAAAGGCATTACTGCACTATGTAGCAACTTTATGCCCTTGTTTACCCTCCTCTGTTAATAATAAAAAAAAATGACAGACAATCAAACCTTTTAATTCCATGCTAGATTTCCTTGCTAAAAATATCAGACTATCCTGTGCTGGGATTGATGCCAAAACCACTCTGCACTAGAAATCAGTAGAGTAACTGATTAATATTTCTTGCATTTATTTACTTGCAGTTTAAAAATGTGTGTGTTTTACATGCATACGTTAATCACGGTAAGAATGTATTTATACAAGTTATTTGTATGCAGAATTTAATTCTTTTTAACCTAACATGCAAATTTAATTTCAATGTATAACATTTTTGGTAATTGTTGCCTTCTGTGCTTGTTTATATTACAGGACATTATCTTTCTTGGGGATGGCTCTTTGCTTAGCCTTAATGTTCATATCATCTTGGTATTATGCCCTCATTTCCATGGTGATTGCCGGAATGATCTACAAGTACATAGAATATCACGGGGTGAGCAAATTTGATATGCATTCTTTTCAGACTAATACGTTTGCCACCATATTGTCTTTTCTTTTAGCTTATGTTGTGTGTTTCTTACCTAATTTATGTGCACAGAGCGGAAAAAAGAATGGGGAGATGGGATCAGAGGTCTTTCTCTAAGTGCTGCACGCTTTGCTTTACTTAGACTGGAAGAGGGACCACCACATACTAAAAACTGGAGGTAACGCTAGCCAACCGTTTTATGTTATTATTTATTAATCTGTATGTGTGATTTCTTGTATCATTCATGTCTGTTTTTCCTACTACCTAGGCCACAGCTGCTTGTTCTGGTGGAACTGGATTCAGATCTTCATGTATCTCAGCCACACCTCCTTTCCTTTGCATCTCAGTTGAAAGCTGGAAAAGGCCTAACTCTTGTTGGGTCTGTTTTGATTGGGGATTACCTGGAGAATTATGCAGAAGCTCTGGCAGCGGAGCAGGTATGGTTACAGTATTGCTTATTTTTCAGTACTTGTCTGTGTATATCAGTCAGACGATATTTATTTATTTATTTCAGGTACTTATATAGCGCCATCAATTTATGCAGCACTTTACACATATATATTGTACATTCACATCAGTCCCTAACCCTCAAGGGGCGTACAATCTAAGGTCCCTAACTCACATTCCTACATACACATACTAGGGCCAATTTAGACAGGATCCAATTAACCTACCAGCATGTCTTTTGGAGTGTGGGAGGAAACCGGAGTACCCGGAGGAAACCCACGCAGGCACAGGGAAAACATGCAAACTCCAGGCAGGTGGTGCCGTGTCTGGGATTTGAACCAACGACCCTAGTACTGCCAGGCGGAAGTGCTAACCATTTAGCCACTGTGCTGCCCATAGATGATATAGTGAATAAGTAAACCTTCAAAATGTACAAGAGCCCATTCAGTATTTTTTTTTATCAATATTGCGCAGATCACCTATCCAGCAGAATAATAGGATTAGGATCATGATTCCAAAATTCTGCTTACTGCTTATACTGTCTTTTCACACAACACAAGTATCTGTGAGACTTCGTAAGCTGACATGATGAAGCGCCGCAAGACAAAATTGTGGCTGAACATCAACCAGTTGTCCTGGGCTACTTTTCCAATTGCCTATGTACTATTGTGGCACCAGCAAGAACCACTGTGAAATACCATCAAGTTATTCTACTATTTTCACTTATTTTCAATGCCAAATATACCATACTCAGAAACTACCTGATACTGGGTTCTTGGTTAAAAAAAAAAACAACTTTCAGAATTAAATTTAAATTATGTACTGTATGATACTGTAAATTCCTGTGAAGTTTTGCAGTGCAAACTTTAACCGCCTCCGCCCGCCATATAGTAATATGACGGATGCAAGGTGGTTCTCTCTTTCTGGGAGGACGTCATATGACGTCCTCCCATTCTAACCGTGCATGCGTGGCTCCCAGAGCATGCAGCGCGGCGATCAGTGGTGCGCTGTGTCCCTCGGACACAGAGGATCACCGATCCACGGAAAGAGCCAAAGATGTTGGCTCGGTCATGTGATCAGCTGTGTCCAATCACACAATCACAGCTGATCACATGTAAACAGGGAAATGCCGGTTATCGGCATTTCTCTCCCCACGAGCTGCCACGCTGACAGCTCGTGAGGAGAGGGGAGCCGGTAATCGGCATTTCTCGGAGGGGACATGTACACACATCATCAGAGCACTGATGATCAGTGTGCCCTGATGATCTGTGTAGCCCCAGCAGGCCACTTGTCAGTGTCCTTCAGTGCCAGCTCTCAGTGCTCATCCATGCACATTTCAGTGCCCATCAGTGCCACATCAATGCCACATATCAGTGCTCATCTGAGCTGCCTTTCAGTGTCACCCATCAATGCCAGTCAGTGCTGCCAATCAGTGCCGCCTAACAGAGCCAGTTAGTGCCGCCTAACAATGTGTGCCGCCTATCAGTGCCATATGAGTGCTGCCTTTCATGCCCATCAGTGCCTCCTCATCAGTGCCACCTCAGTGTCCCATCAGTGCCCATCACTGCAGCCTCATTAGTGCACATCAGTGAAGGAGAAAAATCACTTATTTACAAAATTTTATAACAAAAGCTAAGAAAAAAACATTTTGTTTTTTTAATTTTCAGTGTTTTTTGGTTTGTTTAAGAAAAAATAAAAAACCCAGAGGTGATTAAATACCACCGAAATAAAGCTCTATCTGTCACAAAAAAATTATAAAAATTTCATATGGGTACAGTGTTGCATGACCGTGCAATTGTCATTCAAAGTGCGACAGCACTGAAAGCTGGAAATTGGCCTGGGCAGGAAGGGGTATAAGTGCCCTGTAGGCTAGTGGTTAAATTAGTAAGTACCAAGCAAAATTATAATCAGTATTTTTTTCCCATTTGACAACCTAAATTAATATTAATATTTGACAAATATATAAAAAATAATTCATCAAAAAATGTCTTAGCCTGCAGACAGTTATATGGTTCTTTAGTGGAAAGGTTTACAGCACATTCCCCTTATGTCCCTTTCCTTTGGTCAGGGAGCTACCTGCCGCTCTACTGTGAAAGGAAAGTCTTGTGTTCAGAAGTTACAATCTCCAAGGCATCCCCCTTTTCTCCAGTCTCTTCTCAAACTACCTGAGCCTTTCCATCGTTTGCTGATTATCAGGTTTATGAGCAAACCAGATTTTAAGCCATTGAGCATTAGGTAGTTCCTGGCCTAAAGAATTAGCCTTCTAGTTCATGGAGCAGCATTTGTCTCCTGGGCACCATTCTGAAATTCCAGAACAGGTAGGTCCTTCTACATCATGGGATCATTCCTGGGTCAGATTTTCTGATTTGGACAACGTCAAGGTATTGTCATAACTTTATAGGAGACAGTTTGGATTATGACTTGGATGAAATTTTTCCCCTGTTTTCTCTGTTCCATTCAATGCAATTTTTGAGAGGCCAGTTTTTCATAACTGTTTACTTCTGACATAAGGGAGAAATCCACAAACTAAGGTGTGTACCAGATCCTGTGCTGCAGGTGGAGGTCATTGGAGGGAGGACCACATGAAATTCTGGGCCATTTACATGCTAATCCTGGGCCATGCACATTCAAGAATCCTTTTATGCTTGCAGAAAATGCTTTCATGACTCCATGGGATCTGTTAACCAAGGTACAGGGCCTTTCCTCCCTAGTGGATTCTCAGGCTTGAGAGAAAGGCCCTTTTGGTGATCTTCCTTATTTTGCTATTACCCAGGCAAAAATTATCAATCCTGAAAAGACTCCGAATGGTTACTCCACTGATTCTGATGCATCGTTGGGGCAGCATCTTTAGTCTTGTAACTCTGTGAGGTTTCAGGATGGACATATTTTTTTCAGGTTTCCCTTATTGCTTGCTCCAGGGACACTTGTTTCTTTTACAGATGGGTGAGAGCTGAGCTTGGTCCACAGCCTTATTAGATCTGTATTTCCCCTTGAACTTCATGACGAGGAGAACTTACTCTTCTCTCCTGCCTAATCCTTATATCGGAAACTTCCATGTACCTAATCCAATTGATCAGGCTGAGTCTGAGGGATTGAACCTGGTTCTCGAAGGGGCTTCAGAGACCACTGTTACTCTCCTTGGAGATTCTTCTGATCAAATCCTCTTCAGTGGTCTTTCTGGATAGCCCTTGCCTTGGTGTGGTGAATGTCTTCCCCTTCTGATCTGCTGAGTTGAGGGGTAGAGACTTCTCTAATTTAGGAGGATTCTGGTCTCCATTATTGGGACATCCTTTCCTGTTAGGAAGTTATTTTTTTTCTTTTAAACTTTCAGGTGGATCAGGTATATCAGTTTCCATTTTTTTGATCTATGTTTCAGGGTTCTCTCGAACCTTGGGTCATTCCTCAGTAATGGTATTCTTTTGGTCTTCTGGCATCATGTTTAGTTCCTTTTGCTAACTTATCACCTGGTCTTTCCTTTCCTACAAGGTGTAGGGTTTTGCCTCATCTGGTACTAGCTTTAAGTGTGGGTACTTTGAGTGGTTCTTGAACTGCAGGCAGCAGTCTCCTGTTTTATTCACTGTGCACCCATTAGTGGTTGTTTGCTGTTTTCCCACCCCTCATTTGGACTACTTTTGGACATCCCAACAGTATGTGTCTTCCTGTGATCCTCAATGGACGAGAAAGACAATAGAGTCTTTGTACTTACTGTAAAATTACTATCTTGGGAGTCCCTTGAGGCATGCTGGGAATATGAGGGGTTCTGCTAGGCTGGCCTACAGAATTATTTGTTTGCCAGTGTTCAATCCTACTGTAGTATAACTGACAGTAGTATACTGTAGTATAACTGACAGTTTGATGTCTTGTGTCCTTTGAAGGACTCACAAAAGAGGGTTTCACTGCTGTTTGATCACATTTCATTCAGTTTGTAACTGTACTGAAAATGTTTGCTTGCATTTGTTTTAAAATGGCTGAGAGGTTCCCTTTAAACCTTGGAATTTATAAAGAAATAAAGTATACCAACGTATCCAGGCATAGCTGTAATGCCCCAGTCCACCCCACTCCTTTTTCTTGAAAATTTGGTGATCTGGGGAGTCCTTCTGCTTACTGCTGTTTGTATATGTATATATATGTGTATAGATAGATAGATAGATAGATAGATAGATAGATAGATAGATAGATAGATATTGGCAAACACAATCGCTTTAGACACCTTGCTGTATCAATGTGTAAGCAGTAAGATGTTCCTTACAGCCATCAATCAGATCCAAGCCTGCCTTCCTTGTTTGTGTCTGATGATACACCGAGTAGAAGGGAGGTTACACAGCACAGACTTTAGGAAGCAGGTGTACCCACGACACACATAGGGTGCTCACAGGGATCCATCTGAAGTAAAATATGCAGCATTCAAATGCTTTTTGCACAGTTTAATAAATAACCTGTTGTCAGGAGTTACCCTTTAAAACATCAGTTGGTAGTCAGTAGCAAGATTGAAACTCATTGTGTACCCAAATAAGTTTTACCTTCGAAATATAATCCAAAGCAGAAGCAATGGATAAAGCACTATCCAGATGATCAGGCTCTCAGCTGCATTCTTATCTTCTGCAGGCACTGAAGCAGCTGATGGAACAAGAACGAGTAAAAGGCTTCTGTCAGGTGGTTGTAGCCCAGAAGAAAAGAGAGGGTTTGTCTCACCTTATCCAGTCCTGTGGCCTTGGAGGAATGAGACACAATACTGTGATTATGGGTTGGCCAAGTGGCTGGAGACAGAGCGATGACTCTCGGGCATGGAAGACATTCATCAGTAAGCACTACTTTCTACTCAAGTCAGTTTCTGTAGAAAATGCAAATGTATAGTTGGCTGCTGCTCCTTTTTAAATGTTTGAATTGTTTCTGTATAATTTTGCCTCAAGGAAACCCAATCTTTTCTCCTTTTTAACATAGTACTCTTCTCCTACAGCTACTGTTCGTGTCACCACTGCTGCCCGCCTAGCCTTGCTTGTGGCTAAGAATGTGTCTCTGTTTCCTGGGTCCCGGGACATTTTAGCAGAGGGGAACATAGATGTGTGGTGGATTGTACATGATGGTGGGATGCTAATGCTGTTGCCTTTCCTCCTGAAGCAGCACAAGGTGAACGAAAAATATTGTATCATCGCAGCTCTTTTACATTTACATCAATTTCCTGTCCCTACAGTTTCCTCTGATTTTTTTTTTGCAATAATTTTCTTCTCATTTCTCATATTTTTTTTAAACACTGCGTAACTTCCTATTCCTTTTTTTAATTTTACTTTTTGATTCTGTGTATGGATTAATAAGCTGTAGAGATATAGCCAAATATTAGAAGCATCTCATAAAAGCAATCTATTTTCATCCTACAATCTTTTCTTCCTTTCCTGTGAGTACTTATATGGCTTAATCTATTTAGGTTTGGCGGAAGTGCAAGATGCGTATTTTTACAGTGGCTCAAATGGAAGACAACAGCATTCAGATGAAGAAAGATTTGGCCACATTTCTCTACCATTTACGTATCCAAGCTGATGTGGAGGTGGTAGAAATGGTAAGTACATATAAATGAAGGGAAAAAAATAATTTTTCAGTAAAAATTAAAAATAAGGCTTTCCCCTCGGGTACACAAACCTGGCAAACACTTATGGTTTTATTCCAATAACAAAAGAACTGGCTAAAATGCAATCCCTGTTATACTAATACTATACCATGGTGTTTTAAGAGAAGTGGACCCAAGGAACAAGAGCTATGCTTTGTTTTTGGGTCTACTTCTCTTGAGACACCATTTTTTATGTTGATGAGCACATGGTCTGGTATCACTCAAACTACCAGCTCTCTGCTGAAAACCAGAAGACTTTTCAGCACTTTCTGATAAGTGTTGCAGGAATTTTAGATGTGGTAAAGTATATGTAAACACTAACTTATGAATTTTATTTTGTTAAATAGCAATGTATCAAAAAACTATTGCATTTTTTTTTTTTTTTTTTTTTTTAATAAAATAAATTTTTTTATCTTTTTCATCCATTGTTGCATCTTGTACTGCCTTCATGGCAGTTCTCGGGGCAAATGGGAGATGGAACAGAGCATTGTAACCATAATAGGAAATGCCTAAACAAGAATCTACATAGCAGGATCATTAGGCTTTATTTTAATGGAAGCTGTAGGTTTTTTACATTTAAAATTACTTTTAAAATTACATTACCATTTTAAATCTTATATGAGATTTTAGTAATTGACTTTTACATACATTTATATATTTTAATTAATGTCCTAGTAAGAATAAATATGTTAGTTACCCTTTACCCTTGTGAACTGGTAAAACTCTTTTTATTTTACAAATGCAAAGGTATTTACGTTTAACGCGTTTACCTTCTTTAAACATCATGAAACAAAAAAACCCCCCCAAAAAAAAACACTGTAGTATGTGTGTAATTTTAACTTTTTTTTAATGATCCTTTTTCTTCCTTCACTGATCTAGTGCTGGTATAAGTAAAGTATTAGCATAGTAAAGAGGACATAAATGAATGAAAGTGTTACTAAACCCACAACAGTAAAATCAGTCTGTATATGGAATAAAGCATGCTTGTTATATTCACTGGGGAACCTAAAGGGTTAATCCTCCGCATTGTGTGAAAAGGCTGTTTGATACTGTCTTCTGTGATCCTCCCCTTCTGCTGGCACCAATCCATCTGCTGATAGCACAGACCTCTCGGAGTCGCTTTGCACATGCTCAGTTTGGTTTGTATTGCTAGAAAGTTTTTTTTTTTTTTTTTTCTTTGGGAGCATGTGATCGGCACAGGGCCAATCAGCCCTGTCCAGACTAGTCAGGGGTTATATAGCCTAATAGGACAGTCAGAGGAGAATGAAAACTCCTACAAGCTTTAACCAGTGCTCAGCTGGAGATTGATTGAAGTCACAAGATTGCTTTATACCACTGATGAGAAAAGGTATTTACTAAAATAATTGCTTTTCTGTGTACTGTGGGAGACCAGATATAGTGAATGCAGGGTCCTGGGTTTAGTAACACTTTAATATGAGCTATCTATTTGTCTTTTACAGCATGACAGTGATATTTCTGCCTATACCTATGAGCGCACACTTATGATGGAGCAAAGATCACAGATGTTGAGGCAAATGCGCCTTTCAAAGACAGACAGGGAACGGGAGGTAAGTGTTTTTTCAAGAGTCAGATCATTCACAGGGCATCCTAGGCAGGTGTCTAATGCCAAGTGGATGTCCAGGGGTCCCATCTACTACTTTCATGCTTCTGCAGTAAATCAAGGGGGTGATGCAGTTGGTCACAGCTATGTACCTGCCTGTCACTTCTCAAGGGAGGATGCACTTGTAGGCTGTCATTGTCTAATGGGATTGTGCCTGTACAGGCAATGCAAACCTCTGTGCCTATTTAAATCCTTATCAATGTCAATGGAGGGGAATAGAGGGCAAACTGTTGCCCTAATCCATCTTTGGCCAAACATTTCCTTTTAATATGATACCTCCATCTCCATGACTCAGGGAAACAATGAAATCAGGATGAAATAAGATATCCACAACTTGCACAATTGGTTTTTAGCATCTGGGAGCCAACAGTGTGGCAAAATAAAATGAAGATAACATTAGGATAAATTACATTACAGTGAATGGTAAGCCAAATGTTATTTTTCTTTCATTTCAAAAGCCTTGCTTAGGTATGCTAATAACACTTTTTTTCTATGAAGTGATTGTAGTCAACACTCTATTAATTTTTGCAGCTTTAACTTTTCAGGGTTGTCAACAAAGTGCTTAAACACAGTATAGACCAGCAATGGGCAAACTACGGCCCGGCGGACCTTTTAATCTGGCCCGTGGAGCTAGGCTCCCGCTAGGCTCCTCTCACAGTCTGCCCTGAAGACCGGTGTAGCATGAAAATCTGTCTTCTATGAGGATCTGTCCCCCTCGACTTATCTGCGCATGTGCCGGAGATCGCCGATCGGCTGCTAATGACTGAAACTGGCACATGCGCAGATATGTCGAGGGGGACAGATCCTCATAGGAGACAGATTTTCATGCTACACCGGAACGGCGCGGGAACAGGGCGAGAGGAACGCGCGGAGCAAAGGTAAGTGAATTGACACAGGGGGGACTTGGGGACTTAATATGGGGGATGAATTACTATATGGGGGATGAATTACTATGGGGGATGAATTACTATATGGGGGATGAATTACTATGGGGGATGAATTACTATATGGGGGGAATATTACTATATTACTTACTATGGATGACACATACACTCATTCATCTACTCTTGGTCCGGCCCCCCGGGTCCAATATATGAACCCATTGCGGCCCTAAAGACAAAAAGTTTGCCCACCCCTGGTATAGACCATCTGTATCTGCCTCTTGGCAGTAAGTTACAGTGGATGTCATTTTTAGGAAAAAGAACAGTCAAAATCAATAGTTAATCTGTTCAACTCTCAGCCCCATCTATATAATCTATTCAGTACAGCTGTTGGTAACATCTTAGTCATGTTTACAGTTTCCTTTTCTGTACATAGGCCTCCACATATTTGTATTCATTCTTTCATATCTGCAAAACTGAAAAAGTACACGTATGTGCACCTGTGCAACAAGCAAACATAGTACTGAGGAGGGATTCCATACAGCTACCCCTAATTCCTTTGAATGACATTAAATCCCTTCTGGTGTTTTTTAATTTAACTTTGAATTTTCCCAACTGATCACTATTATTCCCCAACATATAACTGTCAACCTGTGGTCATGCATGCATACTTTCCTAATACATACACTTAGTGTAGTTGTACACATGCATGCACCCAGCTAAAAAAATAAATAATGATTAAGCAGATCATACCCACTGACCACCCTGTTAAAGACCAGTTTAAAGTGTAACTCCAGCCAAATATTTCATTCAGTAAGGAAGGGTGTGTACCTCCATCAGATTTTCAATGTTGTGTCTGCTGATGCATATGGTGCCATTGTTGGCCATGCACCTGGTATGCTTTAAGTCTGTTTGTATGTGTGTGGTATGGTTCCTGCTGGGGAGATCCGCCTACTGTGGTATCGTCACAATACTGTGAAAATCTGCATTTTGCCCTGCTCTTTTCTCTGCTCAGGCTCAGCTGGTGAAGGACAGAAACTCCATGCTACGGCTGACGAGCGTTGGCTCTGATGATGATGAGGACACAGACGCTGTTCCAACAAGAGTACACATGACATGGACCAAGGATAAACATCAAGCCTTGCGTGTAGCCCAATGCAATGCAATGCCCAGCTTTCAGGATTTGCTTAGCATGCGCCCGTGAGTCTCTGCATACTAATATTTACAAAATAGCCTTCTGGTACTATCAACACTTGCTTATTATTGCATTTACTGGCATCTTTTCTATTCCTTAGGGATCAGTCTAATGTACGGCGTATGCACACAGCAGTGAAACTGAATGAGGTCATTGTCAACAAATCTCATGATGCTAAACTGGTACTATTGAATATGCCTGGACCTCCACGTAACTCACAGGGTGATGAAAACTGTATCCTTTTACCCAGACAATTAGAGAACGCCAATAATGTAAGCATTTGTGAAAAATGTGTACTTGTACTATAATACCCCTTTCTTTCTTTCCATCGAGGAACAGAGCTAGCCTTTTATTGTCAGTTTTACTGCCGTCTACAAGAGGATTGGACACTGGCAAAAAAAAAAAAAAAAGTAAAAGCGATTCACACACATGCGGATTGAAGCTCAGGTTTCTCAGCTAATTGATACAGTAGTTGTCCAGCAGTTCATGTGAGGTTTACATCAGGTTCAGGACAGGATTAGATCAGGATCTTATGCAATTCACTCATATGTGGTTTAGAAACGGTTCCCATAGAAGTCAGCCTGTAATCTGCACCTGAACTTGAAGACACTTCTCAGAAATCGGACATGACTCTTTTTCAAATGGCACTGAATCCGCAGTGCCAGTGCACCAAACATATGTGAACAGGCACCATAGGAAGCAATGTTATTTCACGTGTCATGCGGATTGGATGCAGTTTGAACCACATACAGTATATGTGAACTAGCACTAAGCAAGCCCAAGATAACCCCCATTATCCCAGTATACCTCAGTTTTTTGTTAGTTTCCAAGGTGGATGGATGTTTTATTCACAGGTCTGTTGGGATGGGAAAAGTCTAATCTTATTTTTTGGTACTATTTTTTTCTTCGATCAAGATCCTCCCTTTCTTCAGCTCTGCTGAGAAAAGTCTACCCTATTTTAGCTATCTTTTTTATCTAATTGTTTCTTCAATTAAGATTCCTGCTATGTCGTTTTTGAGCTGGTCACTATATGTGGCTATCTAGACCAGCCTTTCTTTAGCTTGATTTTAGAGTGCAATCCGAGGACCCTGCTGGACTTGACCTGGTGGGACTAACCTGGAATTTGTAGACCTTTTATGATGTAAGCTTTTTTGTAATCAATAAATATTGGAACTCATCGCTGTGTGTAGAAATGTATGTACTAATTGGTTCAAGTGTGAAGATGAATCAGAGCACCAGCATTTCCCATTGTGGATTAACTGACAAGGTAGAGCAGGTGAACCTTTTTCTTTTCTTACCCTGAAATGTTGTCTTCAGGCACTGGGATCCACATTTCAGCTTTTTCCAGATCTTCGCATACTGATAAAAGTTATTTTTGAAGCACTTTCCAAGTCTAGAGCCATTGCATTGTCTCAGCACTTAACCCTGTCTCTGAAGTTTATTGAGTAGGTCTTTCTGCTGAGCACCAGGAGCTATCTTGTTGTACCAATGTGCACCTTAAGTTTCCTGTTTTCTGTCACTGCAGAAGGGGGGTAATTTTAGCCACTGGAAGGAGTGTTGCACTCTGCAAACCTTTTCCCACCATTCAGCATTGAAGAAGCACCTTCACCTTCTGCTCCAGTTTGCTAGAGCCACGTGGAACTCTGATCCTCAATTCATTCTTACGGCCTGCAAACAGTGACCTTAGCCACCTGTTCCTTCACCTGCTTCCAAGCAGTTGGGTTTGTAAGTACCTGAGGCTAATTCTAGACACACAGGGAAACAGTTGCTCTGTAGTGGGTGGCTTCAGCTCACACTCCATTAATTGTTCCAGTGCTGTCCACTGTTTGCCTCCTGAGGTACCAAATTAGCCCTCTGATAGCTCTGTCAGTCATAGCCATCTCCTCTGCTTTATCCAGAGAGGATTTTATTGCAATCATGCAGGACTTTATGGACCAAAAAGCAGTAGTGACTGCTGATTTTGACCTCAGAGATCATAAAGAGTGCTCTCCTTCCCCTGCATAATCTATTTTTTGTCTCTGGTAAAGAGACTCTGATGCTGTTTTTTTTTAATCATTGACAGACTAACCTGTCTCTAAGTCTGGCCATAGATGATTTGTTTATTTGGATTAGTCAGCGAAAAAAAACCCAAATGGATTCTCCCATACAAAAAAGCGATGTGGATGAAGGAATCCACTCTGCTGTGCTATTGTATTCTGACAGTGCACTAATTGAAGCAAAAAGTTCCAACATTCGTGTTTGAGAGAAGCCAATCATTAGATCGACTTCTCTCAAGCAGGAATGATCATAGATGGATTGAAGTTCATCTGGTTCTCGCTTAAATGGCTGATTTTCTATCCATCTATTGCCAGCCTAAGTCTCAGACCTCTGTCCTAAATCCAAAACTAAGAGACTCTTTTGACCTTTTACCAGTGCTGTTCTCAGTCTGGTTTCCTTTACGAATCTTAAGACTGCCAAAACTATGGGTTGCACTGATCATAGTTTCTTTATGACATTAGCCCTACTTAACAGTGTCCACCTAGTGCAGGATGAGTCTGTCTTTAAGCATCCCACTGACAAGTGGCTACAGGCCCCTTCTAGAACTCGGTTTTCCTTGGCAGGTCCTGCATATCAAGCTGTCTTGACTGTGGCCTTAACCTGTCAGCCAGGGGATATCAGAAGGGATGGTCATGGAGCATTTGGAACTCATGCTTGCAGGCTGGGTTGTCTCCTGAATAAATTTCCTGTCGGTGAACGCGTCGTGAATTAAAGCGGAACTTTACACATAACCGTTTGATAACAATTTATGTTTTTTAACAAAAGAACATACATTATACATAATAATTATGCTACCAAAATTAGTGTGTGCCTTAAATTCCCTCTAGCATTGCTTTTGTTTCTTCTTGCTGGAATCCACCACTAAGGATTAGGTCTCTGGCACTTGGCTGCTAGCTTCTCATTCTTTCCTTTGTGCAGGGTATCTGCCATGTGGCTCACCCATGACTTCCATGAATTTGGTTCTCTAAGCACTTAAAAAATTGCCTTTGAAACTATTGGTTATATTCCTCTTTCCACTCTTGCTCATAAGGTTACGTTTCTTGTGGCCATCAGCTCTGCAAGATGAGTGTCTGAGTTAGCTGCCTTATCCTGCAAAGAACCCTTCCTGATCTTAAGGTGGTGTTAAGCCCTAGAACTTCCTTTCTAAAGTAGTTTTAGCCTTTTACCTCAACTAGGAAATCATTCATCTGTTGGTCTCCAGTTCCATCAGATCTCCATCCATTGCCTGGATGCAATTTGGGCTGTGAGTATTTATCTTGCAATAACTGCTTCTTTCAGAAAGATTAAGTCCGTCTTTGTCATTCCTGATGGTCCCCAAGAGGGTGAACCTGCTTCTTGTTCCACCATATCTCAGTGGTTTAGACTGATGATGGAAGCGTATGGTCTTAAAGATTGTACGGCACTCTTTCCTATAGAAGCACACTCTACTAGATCTGTAAATGCCTCTGGGGCTTATCGGCATCCAGCTACGGTTTCTCAGATTTGCAAGACTTTTCTCCTGGTCTTCTGATCACAGGTTCTCTAAGTTTTGTTATTTGGATGTTCAGGCCTCATCCGATGCCAGTTTAAGGTCCTTCAGACAGCTGATTGAGCCACAGTCTCAAATGAAGTCTTTTTGTGGGCCTGTTAACATCTTGGTCACTGTTGCCCATCCCATTAGTTGTACAAGACTTTGTGTCCTTTAATAAAGGTGAAATAAATAGGATTTTTGTTCTCACCATAAAATCCTTTTCTTAGGGAGAAAAGGAGGGACATAGGTCCCACCCTACTGTGCTTAAGGTCATGCTCTTGATAATCCTTTGCCTAACAACTGAGGCATGTTGAAGAAGAAGAGAATATCCTTGGCTGGCCTTCAGTTTTTTGTTTGCCAATGATGTTCAGTCCTATGGTAGATGGCAGTATAAACTGACAATACAAAACTTCCTGTGTCCCTTAATGCCTTAATGGACTCCAAAAAAGGATTTTACGGTGAGTACAAGAATCTAGTTTTTAGCATAGTCCAGTTTAAAAATCAAAGTATGTGTGGAAAATACATGTCAATAATAGCTCTCCTATCCATGTACTACTTAGTTTTTTTAAAGGCCAACTATCTGGGCAGCTGTTTTTTTTTTATTATTCTCAAACCCCAGCTGAGGTTTAGAATAAAATAAATAAATCAGCTCCTGCTGCAATAATGACCTCTTCCCTAGAGCTGTTCCCAGAAGTGATTACTTTTTTCCACTAGACAACCTCATTCTACTGAAGCCTGAGGGCATCTTGTGAATGTAGGGTGTCATGGACCTGATGCAGAAAGATCTCAAAATGTCAGCACTGCACGCTGCCTACCGCTCAAGTTGATCCAAAAAACACTTTACATTACAAGCGCATTACATGACCTGCTGAAATAATCTTAATTAAAAAAACAGTCTAGTGTGTGGCAATTGCTGCATAATTCTAGTTTATAGGAAAACAAGCAAGAAGACACTCTATCATTAGTTTAAGATTAGTATCTGTATTACTTCATATTTAAATAAATGAAAAATATCAACCAGCAATGTGTTATGGTATCCTTTCATTGTCGCCTAATGCATTTATGTTGTGAAGAATGCATCCATCAGTCACTTTTGACAAATAGGTCCATGTAGTGTTTCTGGGTTACTTGTTTTTTTAGTCCTTAATGTGCCTTATAGATATGGAGTTTCTTGAAGTCTTGACTGAAGGCTTGGAACGCGTGCTTTTAGTAAGAGGCGGTGGAACAGAAGTCATCACTATATACTCTTAAGCTGACCTCTGTGTTCTGCTCCACTTGGAGTTGAAGAAACCAAGAATGTGTTCGAAGAGGCCAAAAGAAAAAGAATTACTGAAACTAGAACACACCAACCATGTATCCATATCAATCTAAGTGAACAAGAGGGAAGCTAATGTTCCTACAAAATTTCAAATCCTTTTTTACCATTAATAATGCCAAAAAGTTAATGGTAATGTTTAAAGAGCACTATGGCAACAAAAGGGATGGACAGAACAGTGCTTTCCTAACCCTGAACAGGGAGACGTCAAACAACCTCTATGCACCAGCAGGTATCAAATGCCTGTTGAATATCAGCAAACAGCCCTCTTTCAAGGGATAAAAGTATCTGATCCAGTTATTAGGAGCAGTCTGTGCCCATGAAGCTTTGTCCAGAGCAGAGATTCATTTACTAAAGGGTATAATGCTTTAGCACGCCTTAATAACTCCTGACTTGGCTGGGAGCATGCTAACTCGTACTACCCACCACTTTTTCTCAAAGCTGAGCATCAAAAATCATGCGTACTTGTATTGTGGAAATGTTACATTTCTCAAAAAAAAAAAATGTTTTGTCACTTTTTTTCATTCTGATTCTTATTGTCTTGTAAAAGCAGAAGTATTACCTCTGATATCAAGAGGACTTGGCAGTTAAAAAGAAACACTTTACTAATCTCCTTCAACTGTTGAGGAGATTAAATAGATCAGTGGCTTTATTTGTATTGTAATTTTTTTTTATTTAAATGGGAAAGTGGTATTGGCAAGTTTTAATTTATTGCTCTGACCAGCATTCCATGTGTTAAATCTCTGTAATTCTTGTCTTAACAGTGTGAATCATTGTACCAGTAGAAGCAGGTGCCATTATAGTCATAAAGACATGTGAATAGACCAGCCTTTCTGCCTCTCACCCCAGTCCCTATGACTTCAAATGTATCTACATTTGTCATTGTTTGTGTCAGCATTTGTGTTTTTTTTGGGGGGCGGTGGGTTATTTTAAACAATAAAATGTTTTATACAAAGGTGTTTTTGTAATATTAAGAGCATAATAGTGAAGCATGTACTGCGTTATATTCATGAAACCAAATTTTTAAATAAAGTGGGCTTGTCTGGCTTTCTGTGCCCGCTGTGGACATTGAATGCTGAAATATAAGGCTTTCACAAAAATCGCCAGTGTTTTAGTTACTACCAATGGAGGTAGACATGCTGTCAACAAATCTTGTCACTTGCTGTGTTCACAAAAATGCTCCCAGTTCTTTCAATAGGAAATTAGCCTTGTCAACATTTAAGCTGAACTCCAAAATTGCTTATCTTTTCATCCCACCCCTCACTAGACACCTGGCCCACAAAGCTATTCCACTTCACCAGACATGTGGCTGCCCCCTTGCGCTCAACTCTTGTTCTGAAGCATCCGTAGAGAAGAGAAGTAAAACAAACAAAAGATAAAACAATCCCATCCAGCTATCCAAAATCAATATACCGAAACATAGAAAAATGACAGAAAAAAAAGAAGTCCATGGAGTCTGCCACTTTTTTTTTTTTTCGTTAACCTTTTTTGTCTGAGTATAGATTAATGTTTGTCCCAAGCATGTTTGAAGCCATTTACTGTTGACTAGCTTACTACCTCTGCTGGAAGTTTATTCCAAGCATCAACTACCTATGCAGTAAAATTTTATTTTCTAAGATTAGCTTTAACTTTCCTCCAGTTAGTTTAAGGTCATGTCATTGTGTTCTTGATTGCACATTGAAAATACTGCCCTCCTGAAGCTTATTCACCCCCTTGATGTACAGTTGTGTTCAAAATAATAGCAGTGTGTTGAAAAAAGTGAATAAAGCTCAAAATCCTTCTAATAGCTTTTATTTCCATACACAAAAATACATTGGGAACACTACACATTCTATTCCAAATCAAAACATGAAGAAAAATATATCAAATTTGTGTTGTTCCTCTAAAAATATTGAAGAAAAGTGAATATTAGACTGTTCAAAAAAATAGCAGTGTTTATATTCTTCTTTACAAACTCAAACATTCACTATATAAACTGAAAAATGTTTGAAAATTTTGCTTTTCTTTTGAATCACTTAATATTTAGTTGTATAAGCACTGTTTCTGAGAACTGCTGTACATCTGTGTTGCATGGAGTCAACCAACTTCTGGCACCTGTGAACAGGTATTCCAGCCCAGTATGATTGGACTACATTCCACAGTTCTTGGTTTTGCCTCAGAAACTGCATTTTTGATGTCACCCCACAAGTTTTCTATTGGATTAAGATCCGGGGATTGGGCTGGCCACTCCATAACGTCAATCTTGTTGGTCTGGAACCAAGATGTTGCACGTTTGCTGGTGTGTTTGGGGTCATTGTCTGGTTGGTACACCCATTTCAAGGGCATTTCCTCTTCAGCATAAGGCAGCATGACCTCTTCAAGTATTCTGATGTATTCAAACTGATCCATGATCCCTGGTATGCGATAAATAGGCCCAACACCGTAGTATGAGAAACATCCCCATATCATGATGCTTGCGCAACCATGCTTCACTGTCTTCACAGTGTACTGTGGCTTGAATTCAGTGTTTGGGGGTCGTCTGACAAACTGTCTCCGGCCACTAGACCCAAAAAGAACAATCTTACTTTCATCAGTCCACAAAATGTTGTGCCATTTCTCTTTAGGCCAGTCAATGTGCTCTTTGGCAAATTGTAACCTCTTCAGCACATGTCTTTTTTTCAACAGTGGGACTTTGCGGGGGCTTCTTGCAGATAGCTTGGCTTCACATAGGTGTCTTCTAATTGTAACAGTACTCACAGGGAACTTTACACCTTCTTTGATCTTCCTGGAGATGATTGTTGGCCGAGTCCTTGCCATTGTGGCTATTCTTCCATCCATTCGAATGGTAGTTTTTCGCTTTCTTCCACGTCTTTCAGGTTTTGGTTGCCATTTTAAAGCATTTGCAATCATTTTAGCTGAGCAGCCTATAATTTTCTGCACTTCTTTATATGTTTTCCCCTCTCCAATCAACTTTTTAATCAAGGTACGCTGTTCTTCTGAACAATGTCTGGAACGACCCATTTTCCTCAGAATTTCAGATAGAAATGCACTGTAACCAGCATGTACAACATTTGCTGCCTTCCTTCCTTAAATAAGGGCAATAATTGCCACCTGTTTTTCAAAGAATGAATGACCTCACTAATAGAACTCCACACTGCTATTATTTTGAACATGCCCCTTTCAATTAGTGATTCATTTACACAGAATCTGCAGCATGCATGTCATGACTGTTGGGTCTGTTGGATTTCTATTACTCTACTACACCTGCTAGTAAATTATTTGCCATGTAGAAATATAATTTCTACCAAAAACAGTGATTGATCAGGTTAGTGATGTCTGACTGCTATTATTTTGAACACAACTGTATATATAGGTTTCAGTCATATCTCCCCTTTCCCTTCTTTCCTCCAGACTGCACATATTAAGTTCCTGAAGTCTCTTCTGATATGTTTTATTCCACAGATCTTTCGCCATAGTTGTTACCTGTCTCTGGACTCATTCTATCATATCAATATCTTTTTGTAAGTGAGGACTGGACACAGCATTGTAAATGAGGTCTCACTAAAGATCTATATTGGGGAATTAGGACCTCCTTCCTCCTGCTGGTGATCCCTCTAGTAATGCATTCTAGAATTCTATTCGCTTTCCCCACTGCCAGGCCACACTGCTCAATCATCTGAAATAAGTACCCCCAAATCGTTTTTCCTCTGTAGTGCTAGCCAACTCCGTACCCTTGATGTTGTACACTGTCAAGGGATTCTTTTTCCCTATGTGCATAATTTTACAGTTAGAAAAATTGAACTGCAGTTTCCACTTCTTTGACCAATCTTCCAGCAATGCCAAATCATGTTCCATGTTAGACACCTCCAGGGATATCAACCCTATTGCACACTTTTTTATCATCAGAAAAAAATACATACCATGCCCAACAAACCTTTAGTTATATCACTTACAAATCGATTACAGTATATTGAATTGTATTAGTTGACTGGAGTTCAGCTTAAAAATAAACAAAGGATGTCATTACTATCCTCGTAATAGCAGCTGTCAAACTTGATCCTTTAACTTTGATGCATAATAAAAAGGGGGTCACACAGCTTCCCCAGTGAACGGAAGTGACAGCAGATTTGGCAAATTCTAGACTTGAATTTCTGACCGTTAGGTTTTTGAGATCCAGAATGAGGTGAACAGATTGGAGTAAAAGCCTTGGAAACCTTCTGCCATAGGAACTGGGGCAATGACACCTAGATCCAGAAGAACCTAAAGTGTTTGATGGAGATCTGGTAATCTGTGCAGTGACACAGGAAGGATGGAGGTGAAAAACTGAGGACAGGCAGGGAGAGGAACTAGTTTGTAGGCCTGGGAGACCACTGGGAATGGCAACTTCTACGCATAATTAATTAATGCATGTTTAGGGGAGAAAACTGCTTGTCAGGGCATTTCCAATAGTTAGAAAAGTGGGCGAAAAGAAAATCTTTTTGCAGCCTTCGGAGAAGGAAACCACACTGGTAAAGGCAACAGGCCTCTAGTTTTAGAGTGGTGCACACTGCTTTAATAAGTGCCAAAGCGGTCTACTTTCATTTGGGAGTGACTGCAAGTTCAACAGTCAAGGACTGGAGCAGTCCAGAATATGACTGCGACTAATGGCTCAAAAGGTGCTAAGACTGCTTGTAAATCAGATACAGAATTGGCAGGAGCTCGCTAGTGATCGTTGCAGTCAGAATGGGCAAATAGCTTGGTAGTTTGGGTCATGACATCTTGCATGACCATGGTGACAGACACACAGGGCCCATAGTCAAAGAGGACTCCAAGGATGGAAAAGGAGGCAAGGTCAAGACCCCAGATACTCATAAAACCTAGACAGCTTGTACTAGATGGATTAATGTTGATTGAGAGGGTTTAGGTCTGCTGTAACTGTTCTGCTTAGACTTCACCTCCAAGTATAACTATATTCCCTGGAGCAGAAGTAGGCTTTTTTTCAGACATATTGTAGAATAAGGACACACACACATACAATTTACGAAGGCATAATAATTTATTAAGGGACAAAACAAATATGCTGTAGTAGTTAGCGGTTTTCATAATGTACAAACTTCATGATAAAAGGCTTCAGTGCATCTCTTAGCTTTACAGTACAAGGCCTCCACCAGTGAATTCCATTCTCTGCAAAAAAACCAGACATAAGCTGGGTAAACAGATTAAAATCTTTAAAAGTAAATCCTAAACCTCTAGAAGTTTTACATTTATTTGCACGCTGCAATAGCAGTTTTTATGTAATGCAATCTAACACTAACATGAAATACTGTAATCTGTGCAAAAATGTAGACTAACCTCTGGTGGTTCAATGAAAGCCAACCAGTCAGAAGCATGTGTCGGCAGGAGTCCCATAGATTGACACTTATAAACAGCCAATGCTAAACCCAAAAGGTTTCCAATCAGGTAAACCAGCCCTTGTAGAAACCGCTGACCAGAGCTCTCCAGGAGCTTGAAGGCTATACAAGAACAGAAATGAAAAAAATGCAGAACATTTAATATGACCATACAAATATGGTACCAGTCCTAGAGAGAGCAAGCTTTGGAATTAGCTTTCATTTTAACCACTTGCCTACTGGGCAGTTATACCCCCTTCCTGCCCAGGCTAGCTTTCAGCGCTGTCGCACTTTGACAATTGCGCGGTCATGCAACATTGTACCCATATGAAAATTTTTATCATTTTTCTCACACAAATAGAGATTTCTTTTGGTGGTATTTAATCGTTGCTAGGTGTTTTTTTGCGCAATAAACAAAAAAAGAGCAAAAACGTTGAAAACAAAATTTTTTCTTTGTTTCTATTATAAAATTTTGCAAATAGGTAATTTTTCTCCTTCACTGATGTGTGTTGATGAAGCTGCACTGACAGGCATCACTGATATGCAACAATGATGGGTAGCACTGATGGAGGCACTACTAGGCATTGATGGACACCGGTGGGTGGCACTGATCATCAGTGCCCTGATGATCGGTGCCTATCCAGCCTCTGACAATTACCGGTTATCGGCAGTACTTTCCTCACACTGTGACAGCGTGAGGAAAGTGCAGCCAATAACCGGTAACTGCATTTACTGGTGATCTGCTGTGTCATTGGACACAGTGGATCATGTGGTAAAAGGCCGCTGTTATTGGCCTTTTACCACATGACATGATCAGCTGTGTCTGTAGGACACAGCGATCACAGAGAATGCCGGGGGCATGAGGGAGGGTGCGTTCTGGGAGGACGTCATATGATGCCCTCCCAAAACTGTACAACCGTGCTGTAGCCATCATTCGGCTATAGTGCGGTTGGCAAGTGGTTAAAAGAAATCTACAGCCAAAACTTTTTTTAGCTATGGATAAAGTAACAAATGGTTAGAGCCACTTCTTTTTTTTTTTAGGCTGCTTTTCCCTTCATTGGGGAGTATTTCCCTCACTTTCTGTTTTAGTGATAGCACTTACAGATATAAGAGCCCTCTCCAAGACACAAACAGCGATATGAAAGGATAAGTTGACCTTTCTCAACATGTTACATGCATATTTCAGGTGTAACATGTTAACCATCCACCACCTCACCCCCAATCCCCTACTTACGACAGTGAGCAGGGGATCTTCACCCCGCACCCGCTGTCACAATTTGAAAACGCAGCTGCATTCATTCAGAGGTCTGTGAATGAATACCTACAAGTATTGTCAGCCATTACAGCTGACAGCTTGTGGTTTTCAATGAACTGCAAGGGCACTGGTGAGCTCTCTCATAGCCCATTGAGCTTCCTGGACTTCAGGAACTGCCTGTCCATATCGGAGGTATGCGTAGACAGTGTATTGACAGTCTTCAAGAGCCTGACATTGCACCTGCAATCGTTAGTGCAATGCTTTACAGGCTTCCAAAAAAAAATAATAATAATAAATGCACATTATTTTACCTGCAAAAAATTTGTATTTATTATTTTTAAAGGTGAACTTATCCTTTTAACACTTTATTTTTGCTTAGAAGTATTGCCCAGTTGCTGTCAGGTTTTTACTACCATCTGTATTACTGTTTGAATAATTTTCCTCAAATCCTGTCCCAGTGCCAGGGGTCACCATGCCAGCAAAAGAGGAGAATCCTTCTAGGCAAAGATCCAAATAGAAATAAAAGCTGATGGCCCAATACCAGCATAGGTGCAGAAGCATTTTATTGTCTGTTTCTTCACTATTGACTAACACAGGTAATGTAACTGGCACTTTACAATAATGTTAGTAAAATGAAGAAGAACTTACTGGCAGGTGTAGCAAGCAGCGCTTGTATGGGTCTCCATGCCATCATACACACCATCATAATAGGGAAGATGGAGATTGTATTACCAGCCATATACATAATGAATAGATTCATAGGTATCTGTTTAAGAGGTCCTAGAGCGATGTCCCAGCAACGCTGCACACACAAAAAAAAATATCACCAGATTTCATTGAAAATCATTTAACAAGGACTTAAAGTATTACTAAACCCAGGACCCTGCATTCACTATATCTGGTCTCCCACAATACACAGAACTGCAAATATTTTAGTAAATATAAACTGCTAAATACCTTTTCTCATCAGAAGTATATAGCAGTCTTGTGACTTCTATTAGTGTCTAGCAGAGCACTGGTTACAGCTTGAAGGAGGAGTTTTCATTCTCCTGTAGGAGGATGCAGGACCCCTGACTACTGCCTGGAGAGTGCTGATCACATGCACTCTCCCAAGAGAAAAAAAACTCTCTAGCAGTACACACCAAACTGAGCATGTGCAGCTTGCCCCCAAGCCTCTGTTCTATCGGGAGACACTTGAAGAAGGGGAGGATCAGAGAAGACCGGATCAAACATTCTTTTTACATAATGTGGAGGATTAACCCCTTAGGTTCCACAGTGAGTATAACAAGCATGCTTTACTACATATACAGACTGATTTTACTGTTGTGGGTTTAGTAACACTTAACAATTTCTAAACACAGTTATATACCATTAGAGAGCTATGCCACTTTACCTTCTCCACCAGGATGTGGTCAGACTCCTGCACACTGGTGTCTGGAACTTGTTTGTCAGAATATCCCACAGGATACATACTGTCCTGTGTAGTACTTCTGTCACCCCGACCTCTGAAAATGTAATAAAAAATGTATACAAGTTAGCTTAAAGCACTTTATACTTTACTAATAATTGTAGCTATGGTTAAAACAGATCTAAACCCAAAAGACAAAATTATATCCTTAGATGTGGTGACTGCATTCGGCTTTCTTCATTTAGGCTTGCTTCTTTTATTTTCACCTGGCGATTCAGCCAGTAAGTGCTAACTTTAACTTTCTTTTACAGACCAAGCTATCCAACAAATGTAGCAGTTAGAGGGTTGAGAAAAAACATTTAACACTGGCATTTTTCATTTATGTAAAACCTTTATCCTAAAAGGAAGAAAAAAAACAGTTGCTGTAACTGCCATTAGGCCCCATGTACACAGGACACTTCTTAACGATGGAAACTAACTGCTGGCATAGGTTAAAAAATGTCTGTTTAGCCGTGTTTGCGTTTATGTGTGTTTTTAAAGATAAGCACAGAAGAACCTCCCAAATGCCCAGAAAGCACTGAAAAGTAGTAAATTATTAAATATTTCAGACAAAAAATACAGAGAGTAGAAGCAGACACAGCAGTATGTGTTGAGATAATTCGGTGTGAGTTGCTCATTAACATTTCTTTTGTTTCCAATGGTGGGATAGGTGTCTGGTGGAGGGAGTCATTAAGGTCACCTGACAGGGGGTCTTCATGAGGAATTTGAGGTGGGAATGATCATTAACATATCTTTTGTTTCCAAGGGTGGGAGAGGTCTGAGGTGTGAATTGGTCATTACAATGTGTGACAAGCTTGGTAGGAACATCCTGTGTTCAGTGTTTTGTCCATCTGAGTATCTTGAAAACGTTTTGCATGCATTTTTCATGATGAAAAAAGGCTCTGGACAGCATCGGGAACTGGAAGAGTTAAAAAAAAGTGTTCAAATGCAAACAATTATAAACGTGATTTTCCGCGTTTATAAGTATTTTGCGTTTGAAACACTGATAAAATCGACGCCTGAACGCAAGTTTTCTGCATTAAAAAAAACGACTGTAAACTCAAATGCCTGTAAACTAAGATGTGTACATGGACACATAGGAAAACATTAGGGTGAGTTCAGGAGCTGCTGAAAAAAAAAACGCTGAAGAGCTCCTAAACTCCTTATCAGCTGCAATGTACATGAGCCCTAACCCTTTAGGTGCTAGAGCACTTTCTGTTCTAGGGTGACAACACTCACTCACTGTATTTTAGGTCTACAGAACACCTTCTTCTCTCTATACCACAGGGAAGGTGCATTTTAGTCCATAGAACTAGCTGGAAAAATTTTTTCTGCTGGAACATACCTTGGGCACTGGTCCTGTATGTACTGCAGCTTCTTGTTCTTTTAGAGTTATTAAGTGTCCTATTGGTCACTCTGCAACTCCAGCAAGAAAGGCAGTACTTGTGCTTTGCCTCCCCAGTGAGTCCCAATATGCTCTGTGTCCCCACAGGGTCCTAAAATGCTCCACCTCCCAGCAAGACTTGACATGCTTTGTGTTCAAGCAGCTGCAGTAATGTGGTCAGCATACCATAAACCCTCTCTTTACCTGCTGGCCATGGGGCACTAATGTACCATCCATTACTTGGCTGTCACATTTGGGCTTGCTAAGTAGAGACTACAAGGTTGGCTGGGTAAGTCTCTTATTAACCACTTCAAGTCCGGACACTCTCACCCCCTTCCTGTCCAGGCCAATTTTCAGCTTTCAGTGCTATCACACTTTGAATGACAATTGTGCGGTCATGCAACACTGTACCCATATGAATTTTTAAGTATTTTTTTTGAGACAGATAAAACTTTATTTTGGTGGTATTTATTCACCACTGGGATTTTTATTTTGCTATATAAATGAAAAAGTCCAAATTTTTTGAAAAAAAGTGTTTTTCTTATAAAATTTGGCAAATAGATAAACTTTCTTCATAAATCTTGGCCAAAATGTATTCAGCTATCTTTTTAGTAAAAAAAATAACCCAAATTAGTTTATAACAAAAAAAATTATAACTTTTCATAATAGTTTTTTACTTTTTTTTTTTTTATTATTAATGTTTTTTTAAACATACTGTCACCCTAGCAGTACAGTGTCACCATAGCGACACTGTACTACTTCTGTGGGGTTATGTTTTTTTTTTTTTTTTTTTTACACTGATTGCTTTTACAACCATAAAGGTTGTAAAAGCAATCATTTCTCCTTCTCTCTGACTGCACTCTTACAGCCATTGAGAAATACTGTGAGAGCTGTGATTGGTCACAGCTTGTTACATGGTACAAGGCTGTTGTGAATAGCCTCGTACCATGTGACATCTTTGATCATTCACAGATTTCACTAGTAGTAAGCAATGATGTCAGAAGTGACATCTTGCTTACTATTATTCATGTGATCACTGATTGGCCAATTAGTGATCACATGATCGGGACCTCACACAGAGGTCTCGTACAGCGATCGCGTGGTGCCGCGCGCTGCCAGGTTGAAAATGCGGGCGCCGTTTGTGAACAGCAACCCGCTCCTGCACTGCCCCCGTCTGGCCGTTTATGTACATGTGCCGGACGGGAAGTGGTTAAGGCTGTTGAGAAATCTATTGTTTATTACAATGGGAATTGATGCGTATTGGTTTTGTATGAAGCATTACAGTTAGTTAAATAGAAGGGAAGGGGGAAAGAGATACGTGTTTATAACTGTGGTACACTGAAATGGCTCAGTAAAAAGTGCTAGAGATGAAGCATCAGTGCTCAGCAACTGAATAAATAAATCAAAGTGTTAAAGTGCACCCTAAACACTGATCATTTTTATGTTTTGTTCATTTTGCTAACAAATTCCATACAAATGACTCCTTTATCACTACAAAATGAAACTTGATTCCATATTCTCCAAAAGCAGACGGTACTGAAAGGTGGGGAGAAGGAGGAAACAAAGGTGACTCGGATAAGGGGGGATGAGTACCTGCACCTATTCTCTGACATACTAGCCCTGAATATAACAAAACACTACTGATGCTATATTTAATAGACTGAACAGGAGCAGATAGGAAGAGAAGAGCAATCAATTTCTAGCCCAATGTATGGCATACTACCTGCTTCCTCCACTCCCAAATTCAATAGCCCACTTAAAGCGGCCAGATTTTCGGTTTGCAACCAGATTGGGTGCAGATGCCATTTCTGTATTCTGTAAATAAAAAAAAAAAAATAGTTAAACTAATAAAATGTAAAAATAAACTGACCTACAATCTCATAAAACAATCTTTGGCAAGCAAAATTTCATATGTACAATGGTACCCAATACATCTTTATACATTTATGTCAACAGCTGCCAATTTGGCATGGTCTCTATAAGATGCTACTTCATGTTACTTGTGTAGCTTACTGCTTTGCCATCCATTTATTTCATCTATCAATAGTTTGCTATGCTTAGGGAACACATTATTTGGAGCAGCCTTTGGGCAGACAGCAAGCTCCTCTGAACAATTTGAAATGAGAGGAAATTCAAACTGTCCCCACTGACAAACAGAGACACACTGAGCTTCCCCTCATTAACATACAATGCAGAAGCCTGGGCAGGCCATAGAGAATTTTCGGCCGATAAACAAATAACGGCCGTTTTTCATGGATTTTCCAGCATGACCGATAAAAGTAAACGAGAAGATCCGCAAAAAACGGCCGATGGTATTACTACACTAACGGCATGAATATCGGCCGATTTTTTGTGCGGATGAAAATTCGGCCGATAAACGACCCGTCTATAGCCTGCATTACTTCTAGATCTTTAACCCTTTGTGAGGACAGACAGTGTTCAAATCTAGTTTACAATTGATAAGATCTGCCATCACAGTACGAGCAGGGTTAATTATGGTATACATTAAAGTATCTGTAAACTTTGATTTTTTTTTTTTAATATACATGTTATACTTACCTGCTGTGTGTAATGGTTTTGCACAGAGTACCCCTGATCCTGCTCTTCTGGGGTCCTTCATTGGTGCACAAGGCTCCTCCTCTTTGGCGAGTGGCCCCTAGGAAGCTGCTTCCCAGGTTGGCACTAATGCGGGCTCCATCCCGAGCCACCCTGTGTCTATAGACACAGACAGAGTAGTTCTGCCCCAGCTCCACTGTCATAAGATTTGATTGATAGCAGCAGTAGCCAATGGTTCCCGGTGCTATCAATCTGCGTGGGGAGGAGGGAGAGATCCACTGCTTTCAGGCACAGCACTGGATCGAGATCAAGCTCAGGTAAGTATAAAGGAGGGGGCTGGGGGGATCTTGTGGCACAGAAGTTTTTTTTTTATCTTTACGCAGAGTGCATTAAGAAAAGAAAAACCTTGAGCCCTTAGAACCACTAACTCCCCAGCTCCCCTCTGCAGAACACTTTTGGAGTTTTCAGAAAAATGAAGTAAAATGTAAGCAGCAATTTTTATTTTGTTTTTCTCCTCTTTCCCACACCTGGGATGGGGGGAGCACAGGAATCTGGAGCATGCAGCTCCAGCTGAAATGCTGTTTGTGCTGTGTCTGGCACAAACACAGCACAGAATAGGGAGAACATTGCTCCTAATTAACAAAAGGGTTTGTATCAGTTTAGAAGGGTGTTGCAGGCCTTATGCCTATGCCATGCTTTGTTAAACCACCCACCATTGTTTGCAGCTAGCCTCAGGCTGAATTCACACAGAAATGTGTTAAAATGCAGAACAAATGGAAGTACATTTCCATCCATTTTATATGCGTTTTAAAGCAAGTTGACTTGTATCAACACAAGTTTTAGTGCATGTAAACAATGCACTACATTTTGCAGGATTTGCTGTGACATCGCATCCTGTCGGTTAGAGAAAGAGTGAGTGAAGACTGTTATCTTTGTAATTAGTGATGCACCGAAATGAAAATTCTGGTGCCGAAACCGATACGGAAAATTCAGAATACATGTGGCTGAAAACCGAAACCAAAATGTCTGTGTATGTGGGGAGGCTCAAATTTTTTTTTTTTAACTTTAATGTATATATTTTTATTTATTTTTTAATTTATGATTTAATTGCTATCACATGGGACCAATAGTCCCCAATGTGATAGCATATGAGTGACAGGTACTCTTTGTAGGGGGGGGGGGGGGGGGAGGCAGTGTGTGCAAGGAGGGGGCAGGAGAAAAGCAGTGTATACAGTGAGGGAGCAGTGTATACAGTGAGGGAGCAGTGTATACAGTGGGGGAGCAGTGTATACAGTGAGGGAGCAGTGTATACAGTGAGGGAGCAGTGTTATACAGTGAGGGAAGCAGTGTATACAGCGAAGGAGCAGTGTATACAGCGAGGGAGCAGTGTTTACAGCGGGGGAGAAGTGTATACAGCGAGGGAGCAGTGTATACAGCGGGGGATGCAGTGTATACAGCGGGGGGAGCAGTGTATACAGGGGGGAGCAGTGTATACAGCGGGGGAGCAGTGTTTTACAGCGAGGGAGCAGTGTATACAGCGGGGATGCAGTGTATACAGCGGGAGAGCAGTGAATACAGCGGGAGAGCAGTGTATACAGCAAGGGAGCAGTGTATACAGCAGGGGAGCAGTGTATACAGTGAGGGAGCAGTGAATACAGCGGGGGAGCAGTGTATACAGCGGGGGAGCAGTGAATACAGTGGGGGAGCAGTATATACACTCAGGCTCCCTCACTGGCTGCCCCTTTATTTCACTGCTGGTTTTTAAATGTAATTACCATGAAGAAAAAAAAGCCGGTAATTGCATTTAAAAACAATGGCGGTTTTTAAATCTATGTATCGGTTTTTTCCATTCACTATAGCTTTGAGAAGGAGCTGTCATTCTCCCTGCCACTAGACCACGGGTGTCAAACTGGCAGCCCTCCAGCTGTTGCTAAACTACAAGTCCCATGAGACATTGCAAGATTGACAGCTACAAGCATGACTCCTAAAGGCAGAGGCATGATGGGACTTGTAGTTTCGCAACAGCTGGCGGGCCGCCAGTTTGACACCCCTGCGTTAGAGGAAATAAAGGGGTGGGGTCACCCAGTGACCCCGCCCCTTAGTTTCCTTTAGCAGTGGGGAGAATGACAGCTCCTTCTCGGTGCTATAGTGAAGGAAATAAAAAAGCTGGTAATTAGATTTAAAGACCAGCACTGTATACACTGCTCCTCTCCTGCCTTTCTCTGCCCCCCCCCCCCCATCTGCAGTACACACAGCCCCCCATTGGCCCTGTATAGGCTAAGATTTTCCTATTGGCAAAATGTTGAACCGTTTCGGCCGCCGAAATTTCGGCGCATCCCTACTTGTAATCCATTTGCTGGGTGTAGTACAGGATTTTATGTGCCCGAACATAGGTTTACAATGGGGTGTACTCACTTGTGTTGCCAGCGGTTTAGACATTAATGGCTGTGTGTTGAGTTATTTTGAGGGGACAGCAAATTTACACTGTTATACAAGCTGTACACTCAAACCTTTACATTGTAGCAAAGTGTCATTTATTCAGTGTTGTCACAAGAAAAGATAGAATAAAATAGTTACAAAAATGTGAGGGGTGTACTCACTTCTGTGAGATACTGTGTATTCCTAATAATGACCCCACTGTGTTTACTTCCTGGAATATCTAAGCAGTAAAGCCAGGGCTATTTTGCCTGGCACTGTGCTGAGCTGTCTGACTTTTGCTGGCCATAAACATATAGATTTTTGTTCAAAAACTTTTCGTTTTAGGTACATTCGTTCAATTTTCTAAGGTCTGCTTCACACCTATGCGTTTTTAAGTACATTTTACAGAAACGCACTAAAGTCCATTTAACATGGCTTCCTTTGGGACACATTCACATCTATGCGTTTTCAGCGGCTGCATTTGTTTTCTTAAAGATTCAGGGACTTTTTTTTCCCCACAGCAGATTGCATTTCTGGTGCAATAGACTTCAATGGAACCATACCAAAAACACAAGTGTTGGATTTTGATGCATTTTGCATTTTTTGGCCAATAAGAGAGTACTGAGTGCAACTTTACACTGTGGCACTCAAGTCGCATCAAAGTAGTGCAGGAACCTTTTCAAAGTCGCTGCGACTTTGAAAAAGGTTCCTATTCTATTTTGAGTGCTAGATTGTAAAGTTGCATCAAAATTGCACTAAATAAAAACATTTTAAACGCATCAAAAAATATCAAAAAAGCGTGTCGAAAAACAAAACACGATGGAAAAATGCATCCATCGCAACACGCTTAGGTGTGAACCAGAACTAATTGTTAGTGACAGCAAACTGGCGTTCATTTTCAACCACAGTGATGCAAAAATTCAAAGGAGCAGGATGGAAAAATGTTCTCAATTGAACAAGTTTTCTGACAGTGTATGTGGTTTTCATTCATAAATTATAATTTGTTTTAAAATTGAATGTTAAAAGCAAGTGACAGTTTGGAAAGAAGTACATTCATTTATAGAATGTACAAAGAATATTCATTCATAAATTACATTTGTTTTAAAATTGAATGTTAATAGTGACAGTTTAGATTTTATGGAATATACAAAGAATGTTCATTCATAAATTACATTTTAAATTAATAAATTACATATGTTTTAAAATGGAATGTTAAAAGCAAGTGACAGTTTGGAAAGTCATGCATTTATTTATAGAATGTACAAAGAATGTTCATTCATATATTACATTCGTTTTAAAATGGAATGTTAAAAGCAAGTGACAGTTTGGAAAGTCATGCATTCATTTATAGGAATGTACAAAGAATGTTCATTCCAATATTACATTCGTTTTAAAATGGAATGTTAAAAGAAAGTGACAGTTTGGAAAGTCGTGCATCCATTTATAGAATGTACAAAAAAAAATGTTCATTCATATATTACATTCGTTTTAAAATGGAATGTTAAAAACAAGTGACAGTTTGGAAAGACGTGCATCCATTTATGGAATGTACAAGGAATGTTCATTCATTAATTACATTCATTTTAAAATTGAATGTTAAAAGTGAGTTTAGATTTTATGGAATATACCAAGAATGTTCATTCATAAATTACATTTGTTTTAAAATGGAATGTTAAAAGCAAGTGACATAATGGAAAGACATGCATCTATTTATGGAATATACAAAAAATGTTCATTCATAAATTACATTTGTTTTAAAATTGAATGTTAAAAGCAACAGTTTGGAAAAGGGTGATTTAAATCACTAGGGAAAAGGCTCGATTTAATTCATA